CCTCTCTCATCCCCATATTTACCCAAAAGTATATGTCCCCTTCCTACTTAATTTTTTTTTTTTTTTCAGTCTTTCAAAATTCGTCTTCCTCTCAATCTTTCATACTACACAGATTCTCTTTCCTCCTTCTCTTTCCCTGCCCCTTCTCCCCTTTTCAAAACTGTCTTTGCTATAACTGATACCCTGTGATGGCACCCACTGCCATGTACTGATACCCTGTGATGGCACCCACTGCCATGTCCTTCTTTTCTGTCTTTCCCTTTCTCCCTGTCAGTCTTACTCAGTCCTTGCCCTGAATGACCACAAGACACATTGTTCATGTCTTCTATCCTGCGTGCAACACTACACATCTTATACCAGTCTTTGGCTAATGTTGGGGAGATTTTTAAGATATTGTTTTTTTATCGTAAATGTTTTACATTCCCATCAGCATAATTTAGATCATTTAGAAAGTAGACAGCTTCAACCCTGCCTGTCAGGGTCAGCCTAGATGAAGTGGGAGACAATACCCAATGAGACACAAGGACTGTACTCAATTTACAAATTTAGTACTCCAGAATGGAGCTCACTCCTTCTGAGTGCAGTGATGAAAAGCCTAACCACTGCACATCCGCACTGGTTATTAGTCGTACAGCATGGATCATTATTATTATCTTTCTGCTAAATACACAGTACTTACAAGACCTAAGAGATCTCTTCCTTTCTTCACTACAAAGTACTGTACACTAGGTTTTAAACATGTGCGACGTTGATCCATGATTTTTAAAGCACTTTGCAAATTCTAGCTGCTTGTGAAATATTAAAAGGGTGCTACTACATTGGAGCACAAAACACTGGGTGACTCAATAGAAAATTCCAAACGTTCGTGAAAAGAGAAATGGGCAAAACAAACCCTAAAAGAAAGGCTGTGTACAGTAGTTCCACCACATTGTACGGAATGGTAGTAAAAGTAAAGTATAGCCGCCCCACACACCCCCCCTTTTGAACTACTTGACCAAATATATGTCTTGCATGGTGTCCCTGGGGGCTGCAGATATGTTTTATAAGAGTTTTTAGTTTTAGTAAGAGTTTTACGGCACTTGCAACACAATAAGTCATATATGTGCCAGAGAGAATAGATGTGTTACAAGAGAGTAACAAACACAAAAAAGAAGGAGGGGAGATAAGGATTGATAGATGTTTGATAGGAAAGAAGGAGCAAACCACTCCAGAGCACCCACCAACCACCCACTACTTTATAAGAACAGGAATGTGGTGGTCATTATGTGCAAAGACGTGGGGGGGAGGGGGGTACTTTTTCAGGGCATGGCTATGCTGCTAAGGTGTACACACATTCTGCTACTCACTGCCTGGCTGAAAGGCGGAAGCTCAGAAGCTACAGGGTTGTTAAAAACAACACCAACTACAAGCTTTCTTGCCTTTCCTTCTATTATTTTTGTCTGTCTTAGCCTAGTACCTCACTATGACAGAACTGTTGGCCAACTGTTTAGCCAGTGAGTTGTGGCCAATGGAAATAAGAAAAGCCTACTTCTTCTATTATTTTTATTGACCACAATTGGTCGCTTTTAAGGACAAGCCGGCTAACCCAGACTTCAGGGGTTCCAGAAATCTTGACCTACACCAAAAGTGGGCATTGCCCTACCTATAGAAGTTTGGTTTCATTGGTGTGTATATTTGTTTGGTTATGGAGAAAATTTTCCTTGTCTTGTAAAGAAACTGAACAAGGGACAAAAATGTTACCTTCGATTTTTTCAAGACAAAATTTTTCTGGATAGCCCACTTGTACTTAAAAATGACCAATTCACCAACAGAACAGTTGGCCTGCTGTTTTGTGGGAGTGCGGTACTGGGCTTACTCTTTCCCTGCTCTAATGGCCATCATTGTTTTAATGTATTTCTCTTTTTAGTAGAGTTTTTTATTGCTCTCGCAACTGCATAAGGTCATATGAGCGTCAAGGGGTGGATGTCAAAAATGAAGTCTTTACAGGGAACCAGGCTTACTCTGCTCACCTCTCAGCTTCAACAGCACAGAGTCTGCTTTGACTATTAAGGCATCCCAGAAACAGGGTCACAAGAGTGTGACAAAACATGCAGAAGAAATAGAGGAAAAATTACCATAGTAAGGATTAGGAAAGAAAAAGTAGCAGTTCCCTGTTGCAGTTCAGGCACAGTTATGAGCATGACATTGATGAATCAGCCTATTTACAATTCTACTGTGCATAAGAACATGTTGACGTCCTCCTTTTAGGAATGGCCTAAAGACACTTCAGTCAGTAGCACCACCCCGGGGGGTTTTACTTCTCTTTACTCACACAAACAAACAAAACTAAATGGTAGAAACTGAGCTGTTTGTCATCTCTCTGCCTCAGAGTTTTAAATACGGACAACATGAGCATTGTTGGAGTGACCATTGACTACGGACCCTATGGCTTCATGGACAGATACGATCCAGATTTTATATGCAACGGCTCCGGTAGGTTGAACTGTATATTGAGGTTGGATTTCATCTTTATTGGAGGAAGTCAGAGGCGCGGTAAATGTGAGGTATGGTTTGGATACAGTTTATCCCTGCAGACAAACACAAAGTTTCTGTTGTAATCAGGCTTTCCCAGCAGATCAGTCTGTCTTAAGATTTCATAATCGAACTTGGTATGTTAAACTGTATGGTAAGGTAAAATTTTTTTCTGTATTGGAGGAAGGCAGAAGTGCTGAAAATGTGAAGTGTGGTTGTGATAAACTTTATTCATGCAGACAAACACATGGTTACTATGTGTATTGTATTTAAGCTTTCCCAGCTGACTAATCTGTGATAAGATTTCGTGATCAGAATGGAGAAAGATGAACTAATAGGATATGTGTTGGCTGTGGGTGGCGCAAAGTTTCAATAATAAAAATGTAGCCCCAGTCAACCTGTGCATGTTAAGGGGAGGTGATCACAGCGAAAAATGAAAAAATGAGATGATGGATTATTTATTAACTCTTTGGACGGTAGACAGGAATTATGTTATAATGCCTTTTTGTCTTGCCTTGGCTGGAAGCACAACATAAAGTCATTCCGGTGCCTGCTGTCATAGTAAGCTTTCCCACACGTGGTAGTTAAGTGACTATATGGAAGCAGTATTGCAAAATTTTTCTCTGAATAATTTCCCTTTTTCTGTGTATTTGGGGTATACTGTTTGAAAAAAAAAATGGAGGAACTGCGGTTTTCATAAAGTTTTTCTGACTGGTTTATTGTTTTCCGTCACTTTCATGAATCTGATGCTTTTCATTTCTGGAAATGTTTTCTCCCTCTTGACTCCATTCATGCCAGAGAGTGTGCCTCATTTGTGCCAGGCCAGTGCTTTAAATGGGACCGGTTGAATGAGTCGTTGAGAAAGTTATTTGCCTGACTTATTTACAAATAAAGTAGACTCGTTATAAATGAAAATTAAGACAAAGAATAAAGTTTTTAAATTTTGAGTAAGAGATATTTATAGTAAGCATTGAAAAGTTGTACAGGCTTGGAGAAGAGAAAAAACAAAGGACATACTATCATGTCCACGATATATTGTGAATTTTCACAGAAAGAATATACACTGTTTTGTCTTTTTTTCACTTTTGTTAAATTCTACTTTCTCAAAGTACAGGAGAAACTGTCTAAGACAACCATCTGTTGTTGAAGAGAAGAGTGGTCATCTTAGACAGGTAGTTCTCCTGGACAGTGTCATTATAATATAGAAAAAAATGCAAGGGAGAGAAGTGGGAAGTAGTTGTTTGTACAGGTGATTGTCTTGGATAGCTTGTCGTCAGAGCAGGATTGACTGGAGTCAGAATCAGAACTGACACAAGAGTTACTTGACTATCTCCCTTGCTCTCTTTCCCCTAGATGATGGCGGCCGGTACTCTTACCAGAAGCAGCCAGAGATGTGCCGGTGGAACTGTGTGAAACTGGCGGAAGCCATCAAAGACGCCGTCCCCTTGTCTGAAACAAAACCTCATATTGATCTGTTTGATGAAGAGTTTGGTGCTCAGTACAAGAAGAAGATGAGATCGAAGGTATGAGCCTTAAAAGTGTATGACAAGGGTCTAGTACTTTCCCCTAAGTTGTTAGACTGTTGTCTCTTACTTTTTATCTTTTTTATGGTAGATGATGTTTGTATACTGTAGCAATTTTAACAAGTGTGATTTCAATTGTTACACAATGAGAAAATCCATTTTTTTAGAGTATTTCTGTCTTTCTGCTGTGGCCTTTCTCGGGTTGGATAGTAGAAGAAGCCTTTATCGTGAATCATCTACACTGTGTTGATGGTGGCATAAAATGTTTACAGTCATTTGCTGACACTCACATACAGCTATAGTCTGATGGCTACTATCTTGATGTCACTTGTAACAACGCAATAGCAATCTAACAGCTCTGAGACTGCGATCTTTTTTTGTTGTCAATTATAGAACTACAAAGAGCATTAATGACAAGTCCAGGGATAATTTAAGACCCAACATTTCTTCTCATATGCTTGAAATACAGAAGTAATTGACTGGGATATAGATTCATTTTGTTGTTGTTGTTGAAAAAACACTCACAGGCTACCCTTATGTCATTACTCAAGGCAAAGTTTTAATCATAGTGATGTTGATTTAATTTATTTGACTTAAATTAAGGTAGTTGTGTTAAAATGTGATCACTAATTCTCGTGTCGCACAGCCCAGGTGTAGTTGAGAATAGTGAAGTGTACGACAAGTTATTTTGTTGAGTTGCAAAGAGCAAGAACAAAACAATGTAAAAGTCAACACACTGTTTTAAAGAATTGATATGTAAGTTAATTTTCCACTTCATCTTCCTTCTGACCTACAAAGTGAATGACCAAAACAGAAGCTATTGGTTATACAGTGGAGAGTGTCCAGGAATGCTGACAACACAGTCGAAGGACTGTGCGTTGTGGAAGGGCTCTTTAGTCGCCATAGAGATGAATATGAGGGGGGGGAGGGGGGGATGAGACGTCTGTGGATAATAACATAAAAGTTAGAGAACATTCACCACTATAATTAAGTATGAAAAGAGACCTAAGACATTCTCCCATGCATGAACAGAATACTGGCACATACCACAGCCAGCAGCACCAGTCTTATCATAAAAAGAAATATGTGTAACACTGATGCTAAACTCAAGACGAATGTTGAAGTAAGAACTTTTTTAATGTATTCGCTAAGAGATTTTTAGATAGTACTGTATCAGAAGGACCACTTGTTATCTCATCTGGCTGCTCAAGGTTCTATACAAAAACTATGCCAGGGAAACATTGAGCACGATCAAAGATTTTTTTCTTTTCTTTCTTTTCATCTCTTTTTCAGCTCGGGCTACAAAAGGAGATTTCAGAAGATGGGTAAGTACAACTGGTCAGATCATACTGTCTCATAACTGTCAACGATGCTGTATTAATCTGTGTTTTGATCTGTGAAGAAGATCGGTTGTTTTTGTTGTTGCTTTGTTTATTTTCTTTTTTAGATACAACTCACAATGAGTGCTGCCCGAAGAATTTATATTTTTCTTTATTGTCAGTCCTTCTGTAACTTTGATATGTAATAATACTACTGTTATTAATATTTTTATTTGTTTGTTGTGTGTGTCTGTGTGTGGATTGGGGGCAATGATATGTTTTTATTCATTATTGCTGTCTAGTGTAGGACTTCATAAATAATGAGAAGATAATTGGAGACCTAATTTTCGTTTTAACTTTTTAGGCCAAATCGCATACTTTGCTTTCATAGACGAATGTCTATTTGTTGTCCCTTCCTTTCTCGCATCATAATTTGTTGTTCTGTGTTTATAGCTAAGTCACTCGCTGTTTATCAATGTTCTGTAACCTTTATCTTTCAGCAACTTGGTGAAAGGATTCCTGGACACATTACAAGAAACAGGAGCTGATTTCACAAACTGTTTCCGTTGTCTGAGTAACCTCCCCCTGCCAAGTTGTCCTACGTTCAACGAGGAGAGATCAAAAGTGCTAGACTACCTGATTTCCCAGAGCTCTTCTTTAGACGAGTTGAAACTTGCCAACAAACCTCGTATGGACAAAAGGTACCGAGTCTGAGAGCACAGAAGAAGCAGTAACAGTAATGATAATAATAAATAGCACTTATGCTGGACACTTCCATTTTCTAAAAAATACTCAATGCGCAGGTGGTTATGATAGTAGAAGAAGCAGTTGGTCTCCTTCCGCTGATTAGTGGCCATGGATATGGCACCCTAGGAGCTCATAGTACTTCTGGTAGAACAGGACCGTTGGTGGCAGGTGAGGCAGATGCAGGAGTACATCCTTCCCAGACAAAGGGCAGATGTGGGTAGACGTGGGAGTATCTCCACATGCGTGTGCCTTCCAACTGGCTCTCTTATCAACGGTCAGGCACATCATCTTTTCCTGACTGTTCAGTGGGTGGTTGGTGGGCAATTTGGTGTGCTTTGCTCCTTCTTTCCCCTAAAACGTCTATCCTCATTATCTCTTCTTCTTCTTTTCTTTGTATTTTACTCTGTTATAACACCTCTAATTTTCAGCTTTTACATGACCTATTTATATTTCAAATGCTGTTAAATTTTAACTAAAACTAAAGTGTCTACTTCACAAAAGATGATAGTTGATTAAACCAAACTGTAAAAACAGAACTAATATTCCCATACTTTTTCTGCTCAGCGACAACAGAATGGGGTATTATAGTTGTACCATAAATGGCGGGTGCAAAATCAAAATCTCATAATTACAAAATTTGAGGTGTTAAGGTATGGTGATCATGGTCATCTTAACTTTCGTCTCCAAACTATATCATTTATCAAGGTGTCTTTACTGCACAGCATTACTGTACACATTTCCCAAATATCATGACTGCTAAAATAAAGCTCTCTCACAGAGTTCTGACTAATTTTTTTTTTTCCTCACTATTTTTCACAGATGCGACATTATTGTATTGTACCTGTGAAATGAGACTCATTTTTTTTTTCGCTCTTTACATCACTTCCCCAGGCAGTTGTCCATGTTCATGATGCTGGCACAGACAAACCCAGATTTACTGTCTGCCCTTGGTCGCAGCGCACAGCTTCTCAGCTCTGAGATGGAGCGGATGGGCAGGCTGCAGGAGCTACAGGTAATCTTGGGAGTTTTTAGTGGCCTGAATGCACATAATATTGATATTTTTATGCTCTAAACATGTAGCTGGTGGTTCAACTTGCTTTTTCGTTCAAAAAACCATTGCCAATGTCGTCCTGCGGATCTTTGATAAGAATATTGTAAGAATATTTCCTCAGGAAGAGAACATGCACCCATATTAGGGCATTCATATATGAATTAAACTTTTTTTTTGCATGTGGAAATTTGTACATGTGCTGTTTTCTAGTATTGCTCCTCACAGGCTTTGCGAAGCAGAAGAAAAGTAATGAACTTTTCAAGACCAGATTTGCAAAAAACTATAAGAACAAATCTCATAAGTCAATTGAAGTCATTTCCTTTACCATTTCTCACATTAGTGTTACAGTTATGCTTTGAATAGATGGAATGTGTTGTGAGTAGAAAAGTGTATGTGAAGGGTTTGGAGCAGTTTACTTTTCCAGTGCTCAATATCTGAACCCACCGCAGAGATAGTATGTATTATGGTTTTGAAAAGTTAGCAGCTGTGCAAGTCAAACAACTTGCTTATCAGATATTAACCAAAACCACTGATAGCACCTTCTGTCTTTTTCCCATTTCTGTGGTACTGCAGGACACCACTGCTGCTGAGGTAGAGGAGAACAACCGCAGTAAGTGGAATGAGTGGTTGGACAAATACTCGGAGCGACTAAAAAAGGAAGAAGAAGGGGTGGAGGACAGAGAGACGTTAGGAAAAGACAGAGTCAACGTTATGAATTCCACAAATCCTAGGTTTGTTTGTTTTGGATTTGGGCTTTTTTCTTTTAGTGAATGGGAGTTGCTAATTTGTATTGAACAATATATCTGAGATGTGATGGTAAGGTTTTCCATTTTTCTGTTTTCTTTCTATCTTATTCTGTTCTCCCAGCATTATGCCTGCCTGCCAAGTACAAGTATCTGTCAAAATCAGATTTCGTCTTTGGGTATGCACAATGCTGAGATGTTACTGGCTTTTTTTTTCACTTTTTCAAATAAAGGGCTGAATGAAAGACTGATGCCATTTTTGTGTCAATTTAAATAGTGTGTTGCTAATTTTCATAGAATGTGAAGGGAAATGCATGGACTATGGTTGAATATATCAGGGTAAAAGGACAATGATCTGCAACAAGTTTTACATATATTAATAACAACATTAATTCACTGTGAGCCTGCAAACTTTGTACCCATGATTTCTCAAATCATCATGCTCATAAGGTAATTGCCTAAGTCATTTTTGGCCAGTTTGGAGTTTTTGGTTCTGAAATGAAGAGCAGAGCCAGCTTGGTACTACAGTGCACTTAGACTAAAGATTAATCCAAATATAAATCCTGTCGAGTGTACCAAAATTCAAGCGTTTCACAGGGTTAATTGTTCCAAAGAAACAGTATTTTCTCATTTTCTCAGAATCGCTAAAAATGACTTGGACTTTTATCTTATGAGCATAATTAAATATTTTAACTCTTTATCTCTGGCCAGCCGCTTCCTGCGGCTCTCGGTGAGAACTGCTGTGCCGGTGAGCCGGCTGAGGCACATTCCTTTATGACGACTTCGACATCAAATCACTTTTTGGCAATTTCCAAAAACAGGTTTCTTTTATCAGAATTTCGTTCCTTAGATGAAGAATTATCAAAATATGTTTACTTATTTTGATTTATTGACCAATTTAGTGACGTTTTTGTCATTTTCAGATTTAGTACCGAAAAAGTGCCCTAGTATAGTGGATTTATCCCCCTCGGAGGTAAAGATTTAAAATGCAATATTTCCTATTTTTACATTGAGCCCTTCAGATGTTTTTCTGTCCATGTTATTTTCATTAGTGACAGCCATCAGCCATCCCTTTTTTGCAGATTTATCTTGAGAAACTACATTGCTCAAAATGCCATTGCCGAGGCTGAGAAGGGAAACTACTCTGAGGTTCAGCGAGTGCTGAAGCTGCTTCAGTCCCCTTACTCTCAGGAAGTGGACTTTGAGCTCTCCGAGTCTTCAAAAGCCACACAAGATAAAGGTTAAAGTTTTTTTGGATCTCATTAGTGTACATGCATATGGTGTAATGCTCTGACCATGTAATCAGTTTCAAAAATTTTTTCGACAAGGCGGTTTGCATCTGGCGGGACTATAATGTGGATGACTCTGGTTTGAATCCCTATTCAGATTTTCTTGAATTTAGTTGTTTTGAGAGTTTTCAGGGATCTCTACCTACTTTGCTCAGTTTGGGTGCCTGTTGTCTTAATAATAATAATAATAATAATAAATAGCATTTATGCTGCGCATTTCCATTTTCTAAAAAACGCTCAATGCGCCTTACATTCATAAAGATTTCAGTTTTTAAAAATTAATAGACATTGTGTATATAAAACATAGTAGATCTATTATGTATATGGGACGGGTTTTTTTTTAATTGTAGAAATCTTTGTCCCAGACTTTTTTCACCGTAGTACCTTACATATATAAAAAATAAACGTATCTGTCTTCTCTAATAACTATACCTCTTTTCTCTTCCCAGATACAAGTGAAACAGAGTCGAGTTCTGGAGCATCAGCCTGCCATGTGGGACTGTTGGACTATGCGGGGAAACCACCGTCCTGGGCCTCGGAGCTTCGGGTTACATGATCCTCATAAACCCAGACTTTATTACCTTTATAAGGGACAAGGAAGGAGAGAGGAGGGGGAGATTGGGATATTGTTTTATCATTGTCAGGGTCGAGATTCAAGCACTTTGTGTTTTGCTGAGATGCGACAGTTTTTTTTTTCTTTGTTTTTTTTTTTACTTAAGTTGCCCATCAATAGAATATGATAATGAAGTTGACTGAATGAGAGCTAGATTATCATTGATGTGAATATCAAATGAAGCAATTACATTCGGTTTTTGATCAAGTTGCTGAATATGCCAGGTTTTTACTTAAAAGTGCAAATGAGGTATTTACTCGTGTTTCGGTTCTATGATTGAAAGTGTCAAGCAGCAGCCATACTGCTTTTGTGCACTTTCTTTTTTTTTTTTAGTTGGCATCCCATGACACCCCTTCCTGTAGAAACGGAGAAATACTCTCCTTCTTTGTCCTGTAAAGTTTGAAGTCTGGTGATTCTGGTGGTGACTCAGTGTTCAAACTGTCTCTGGTATTGTCTGAACCCCTTCAATATTCTAACTTTAGGCATGGAAGGGTACTGACAGTGAACCCATTTGATATTTTTTGGTCAAACCTGGAAGGGTACTGATACGAAACAATCTTGAGCTCACGTCTTTAGATCAATCAGTCATCTCTCGAGACCGTTAAAATCCACAGGTCACCACCACGTATCTTGCTGTAGGGCCGTCTCTAAGCAACTCTGTCTCACCCTGGGAGAAACCACTCGCTCGTCAACAAGTAGTTTGTAAGTTTCCTTCACTGATGTTTGTGGCTCTTTGCTCATAACAGATCAGTGCAGATTTATGTTTTGTTTGGTCACGGAACTGCCCTACAAAAATATTGGACAGTTTTTTAGGAATAAGTATTGATTTTTTTAAATGTTATTTGTTTCTTTGTTTCTTTTGGGGAGAGGGGGGGGGAGGGGTTGGGAGATGGTTGATGGGGTGGGGGGTTATGCCAATGTCAAAGAAAGTGAAAACAAAATTTCAAAATTATTTTGTTTTAAGGCTTCTCTGAACTGGTTCTTGGATTCGCTATTGTTGCTTTTTTTTAAGGTAAAAATGCAATTTTATCTATCTGTTCCTATGTGTTTAAAAAATGAAAATTGGAATGCTACAAATTTTTTACTTTGAAAAATTGTTGCCTAATTATCATTAAAATTGATTAAGCTGATGTCTAGATGACATGAAAGTTAAATACGTTAGTAGCCCAATGACTTTAAGCAAGTGGTTTTTCTTCAGGCCTGGACTCATGACGGTAGGATGGTAAAGTTAACGCCATCCTTGCCCGATTATTGTGTTGCTTTAGTGGCTCTACTGCATGATGTGCTAATTGTTTTCTGAATTTATATTTTGATCATTTCATTTTTTTTTTTCATGTAACTTTGTAGGCCCTATTTGAAATGAAACAGAATTATGACTTTTTATGCCCATTATCTGTACAGTCAAAAACATTTTGTCAAAATGCCTTGTTGGAGAAATTGTTATGACTGGTATCTTATTTTGTTCTTTAAGGGGGTGTAGCTATGGTCAACATCCAAATGCTATAGTTTTTGGTCTAATGCTTGCTTTTCTGCATCAAAGGTGGTGACATAGTACAAAAAAGGTTACCAAGCAAAAAATTCAAGATTTTAGCAATGATAATCTCGAGCCATCAAAAATATAGGATTGATTCAGCATTTTTAAAACCAATTTTATATTTTGTCAATCATCAACATGCTTCAAGATAGAAGCCTAATATTTGGCATGGCGATTACTGTTGGTAGGTAGAACAACCTTACAGAGCCAAATTTGAAATTTTTGTACTGACTTGTGAGCCTTACAGTCCTTGTTATGCACTACATTCAGGTCTCCAATATTTTCAGATTTTGTCAAATAAAAAAGGCCTAAAATTTCAAAGGTGTACCATAAAAAGAAAAATGCTACTGTAAGGTTATAGAGAAATGTGCATAAAAGATTGTGTGCAAATGTGAAACAATTCTGACAGTAACTTTCTGAGATCTACTCAATATAGTGTTGCAACCTGGTCAGATCAACAATTCTGAGAAAACTGCAAAGAGAGATAATTTTTGGTGAAGATTTTCCTACATTGCTACCTTTCTCAAATGCATTTTCCAGCTATTTCTAAGTTTGATAAGGAATTAGGCTTCTAAAGATGGATCCTTGATATTGATATCTATTAAGATACTCCAAAATCCGAAAACTGATATTTTTTTCAAAATTTTTTACTGATCTGACCAGTGGATCCCCTTAACAAAATATTTTTGACTGCCTTTAAATATTTTATGTGCACTATTTACATAGTAAGATGATGTCAAGGAGTACAAAAGAAGAAGCTTACCGGGATAACAGGACCTGCCTGCTTCCAATTCTCCACAAATAAGTGATATTGTTCCTGTACAGGTGTTATGTTCTCTAACTTGAACCTATTTATTGCTCATTTCTTTTATGTTTGTTTCATATCAATTGTACGCGACCGACAACACAATTTAGATGTGGGTGGTTGGCGGGTGCTCTGGAGTGGGTTACTCCTTCTTTCCTATCAATCATACACTATCGTCCTTATTTCCCTTTCTTCTTTTTTCTGTTTGTTACTCTCTTGTAACACCCTCAATCTTCTGGCGCCCATATTACCTTATGCAGTTGCGAACGCCGTAAAACCTCTACTAAAACTAAGCTAAAAACAATTTAGATTATTTAGGGGTGGAGGGGCTACCTTGTCCGTGCTTATCAGGGCCAACCCTGGCAGTAAGATACAACATCCCAGCACATTATCATAGATTACCCGTTGAAATACTTCTCCCCTTTGGATAAGACCTCACATCTTCAACATACGACAGTGCAGATTCTATCTGAAATACAACAGCTACTATTTAAATGTTGGTCCACATTTTTGTATATAGTCTATTGACGGGTGAGGTTTACTTTCCCTCTTTAGTTTCTGTCTGCCTTGCCTTGCTTTTTCTCGGCGCTAAATGGCCATGATCATTAATTTGATCTGCTCCAAAAGAAAGTTCACATCCAAGTTCAGCTAACTGCCCTCTTTGCATGGCACAATGTTGGCACCATCAGTATAACATTATGCTTAATTATAATAACAAAAACTGTTGAAACCTAGCCTGTAAGTCCAAGGCTTTTTTTAACTTTCTCCACTTGTTAAATTACATATCTGTGTCTAGCAGATGATTAAACATTAGAAAATGTGTGCTTACTGCCCTGTACTGTAGCCTACTTGGGGTTTAAAGGGATGCATTATTAAAACTGGAAAGTTGCTTTCTGAAGAAACCTGATTTCTTTGTTATGTCTGGTGCAGGAAAAACTCCTACAAAAATGATTTTGTATAGAAATGTTGACATCTGTGCTATCTTTCTTCTCCCCCCCCCCCCCCCCCTTTAATTTGTATTGGGGGGGGGGGAGTGATGGCAGATACTTCACTCACTGTGGTGGATAAAAATGGTATCTTCTTCATACTTCCATAATGACAAGATAGACTGTCGGTTTTCCTTGTCAATCATTACATTATAGAAAAGTACGAGTATGTCATGTTCTTCACCCATAAAGATACAAAATTTTTTTAAAATATTTTAAAAAGCACACTTCCATACTGTTCAAGTTATTCTAATGTATGATGAGGCTGCAGTGACTGGGTGGCTAAAGTATTCTGAAAGACTTTTCTGTTTCAAAGGAGCAAAAAAACCCATCTAAGTTTGCATCTCTATGAATTTTCGTGTAGGCCTACATGAAAATGTATCTGGGCTCCCAAATTTTTTTTCTAAACCGATCAAAGGGAAATATTTTGTTATTCAAGCAAACATTCAAATTCTCTGCTATCTTAATATTCTTAGTAATCAGAATTGCACAAAAATATTCACATGAAAAAATAGTGACCTTATGGTCAGTATTGATCTCAGTGATATATGTTTATATATATATCTATATGTGCGTGTGTCAGATTTGCTGCTTTTTATCGTTTCTGTAAAGTTTCCTCATTATCATGAAAAGAAAAAAGGTAGTTATGAGACTAACCACTAACAGGAACTGGAGTATTCGATATAATGTGATAATCAGAAAATATAAATGCTGTCTGCCTTTTTATTAAAATGATTTAGAAAACAGACTGTTTGTTCTTTTTGTTCACTCAATGAGTTTTAAAAGTTGTAACAACGGTTTTGTGCTTCTTCATTGCATCTAGAATTTGATACCAGTGTTGGAGAAAATGATGCAGCACAATTTTTTTTTTTCAGTTGTAAAATTTCAAATTACAAATTATGCTCACTACGAACGTACAAGACTTAAATTGTTTGAAATACAATTTACATCATGGCATCATGGTGCAAGGAATGAATCAGTCAAATTATTAATACAAAACTCATCATTTTAGGCAGTGTTAGTGGAAATCCTCAGCTAAAGTCCAAAAGTGAGCAAAACACAGTTGGAAAACTGGTTGCACTTTGTAAAAAGTTTGACCTCCAAGCAGAGAGGAATATTATTTTATTCAAGATTACTAGAATACAAACAATGGACGGAAAGATAGTTTGAAAAACTGGAAGGCTACTCAAATTTGAAAACTTTTTGAGAAAATGGCATGAAATTTGGGTCCCAGCTGCCAGAAGATCACTCAAACCAGCTGCTTGTGAGTTTAGATTTTTAAAAGATTTTCGGCACTTGCAACACAATAAGGTCATATAAGTGCTGAAGATTATTAGAGGTGTTACAAGAGAGTAACAAACTGAATAAAAGAGGGGAGATAAAGACGATAGAAGTTTGATAGGAAAGAAGAAGTAAACCACTCCAGAGCACCCGCATAGCACCCATGCTTGTGAGTTTGATTTGACCAATGGATTCGACTGAGCTGTGTCCTCCCATGGTTAGCACCAAGTGACTGAAGTATGTGTAATCGTGAGGTTACGGGTTCAGGGGTTCGAGCCGTGAGCCCGACGTGTCCTTGGGAATGGCAGTTTACACTAATTTTCCTCACTTCACCCAGGTGAGAATGGGTACCTGGCCATAGACAGGGAAAGATTTTGTCAGTATGTTAGTGTTTTAGCGCTTATAAATGTCCACATGCACTGTGTGCTTCCCAGGAAGTTAAGGTTGTTTCAGAATGCTCTCAGGTCTGCTGGGGTAAAAGTATAGATTGTGAAGCGCATAGAGCTTGCTGTTGAGCGGGGATTTGCGCTATACGAATGCTATCTATTATTATTACACTCAAAAGCTGACATAAATACACCAACTTCCATTGCTGTAGCGACATTAAATTGTAATGCATTACTCTTCATACAAAAAGTACTCAACAATACTGCTTGCCCAGAGACAGACAAGTTAACACCCAAGTCTGAATGAACTGCAACGGAGTCTACATTTCGTCACTATTGCAAGAAAAATAAGTATGGCAACTCCGTCAAACCCTACTTTACATGGCGAGTTAAAACATCTGGAGTTGCTCAATTTCTTCGCAACAGAAATGACATAAATCTATAATAATAAACTGGCTTTTAAAAAATGTGTTGGTCTCCGTTTCATCCTCGGTACTTTTACTATTTTTCCTCGACATGATTATTGCAACAAACACAAAAGTATGTCTCCTAAATTTTATACCCAGTAGGTAGAATGCATGTTTATCATTACAATTAACAAAAAAATAACCAGAACACTAATGATAAATTTTATCATAATTGTTTTTATTGATTATTATCACAAGACATCAGTAAAATTGCAAAGTAGCCACAATACAGCAACCACAAATGACTCTACCACATCGCCAATGACCGTTGGTCAATAATAATATTTCAAGTCACAGTTCGTCATACCTCACACATTTAACTCCCATTCCAATATATGCACATTGGGAACACAAAAAAAAAGGACAGAACTTTGTATACACATTGCTCTAAAAATAATGGCAAAACTTTATTTTTAGTATTGTAGACCTAGTAGGCCTACATCACAAAATAGAAAGCCACAAGCACATCAACAATTTAACACGCCTAACTGAGCCACTAAATGGCCCCAGAAATTGTATTCGTAGAATTCAACATTCATTCCAACAGTGTCAACCTTAAAAATTAGGGAGGACAAAGAATCTTCAGTGTGAAATTCACAGCAAAGGCTCTTGAATAAGTAGGTGACACACCCAAATTATTCTTTAAAAAATACCAATTACAATAATAATTTAATAATTATTAAATAAATTGTCATTGAATAAAATTACTGTACTGAACTGAATTCATTATAATCATATTTGGTAATGATTAATTGATAGCAGTAGCAGTGCCTATTCACTAATTATAACAATCATAACAAATAAATCTTCAAGTGAGAAGTGGATTACAGCATAGTGGCATACTTTCCTCCTCCTCTTCAACATATGCAAAAACATTTCAACATTTCATACATCTAATGTTCATCCCTTTCATCCTTCCTGAACGACAGACAAGTGACAGGGTGAACCCAACATATACGTGTAAATCTCAGTAATGAGAAAATGTACATGAAAAAAGCTCATAAGTTACCATATTCTTCTTCGTCAAGACATTTTTTGACTAATGAAATTTTTTTTAAAACCCAACTCTGCTCTTTCGACTCGAACACAAAAGGAAACAGTTCCAGCACCTTCCTTCGAAGGGCTAGCAAAATACAGGACCCAGTAGAGGCTAAACTTTGAAACGCATATAATAATTGTGTATTATACAGCAGTTTCATAGTCGACTTTGTTTTAATTACTTTCTTTTGCTTCTACAGAGAAACGAGTACCAATATCCGTTTCTCAGGATGGAGTCAGAAGTTATACTGTTCCTTTTCATTGTCACTCCTTTCACTTTTTTCAGTTTTCGGCCACCTGTTCTATTAACTAGCATCAGATCCATTCCAGTTCTGACCTATTTCTGCGATAGGGGTGAACCTGTGCTGGAACATGGTCCAATGTGCTTGAGCCCTTATCATGAGCAAATACCACTGAAAACAACATCAGAAATGTATTTTTACAGAATGAATGTCATCTCAAAAAAACTTTGACAAAATAAATGATCAATGTACTGGGATGATGGCAGCAGGAAGAATGGAGACATTCTGGTCTACATCGGAGAAAAAGGTTGATCGTCTATCTAAACTGGATGGGGCTGATTCTTAGGCCGATGCAGTCCTTCCCAATCTCTGTCACCTGTAAGAACAAAAAAACAAACTTGCATTTGAATCATCTTAACTCATAATAACTGTTTTAGTGTTTCAGTAAGTGTTTTACGGAACTTGCAACACAATTAGGTCATATCAGTGCCAAAGATGAAAGATGTTACAAGAGATTAACAAACCACAAAAAAAGGGAGGAGGAGAGATAAAGATGACAGAAGGTTGAAAGGAAAAAAGGAGCAAACCTCACCAGACCACCCACCAAATGCATTTAATCAAACTACTAAATATACCCCCTCACATGCTTTCAATTTAATTCAGAGACCAGAACTAGAAGAGTCAGGGGGGCTGGCTGCAAGCAACGCACCAGCACAACACAGAAATCTTTTTCACTTGGTGAAGCAACTGAAAAGTCAAACTTCATAGTCATGATTATCTTGTGCTAAAAGAATGCTCATCTTGTGAGAGAAAAAAACAACCTTCCTTATAGTAAAGAAAGGGTCATTTTTGGAGCGTTTTGACTTTAAAAAAAAAAAAAGAAACACAATGACACAGTAATAGACTGACAAACAGGAAAAACAGAGGGAAAGAAAAAAGCAGGACCCTCTCAACACCCCGGAAGGGAAAGCTGAAGAGAGGGGAGGAGGAGAGAGTTAGTTTTAGTTTTAGTAGAGGTTTTACGGCGCTCGCAACTGCATAAGGTCATATGAGCGCCAAAAGATTAGAGGTGTTACAAGAGAGTAACTAACATAAAAAAGAAGGAGGAGAGATAAGGACGATAGATGTTTGATATCAAAGAAGAAGCAAACCACACCAGAGCTCCCGCCAACCACCCACGAGGAGGAGAGAGAGAGGGGACACACACACACATAAGCAAGACCTACTTATGTTACATTATTCTTCAACATGACCATAAATTCTTTTCATAAGCACTAACACAGAATAAAGGTATATGATATCGCATCTCATTCAGTTCCCCGAACCATCACTTTTCCGCACTCACCTTAGAGACTCTGCACACTTGACCCTTGAACTCTGGCAGATAGCAGGCTCCACTCAGTGGACATTTGACAACTGGTTTACCTCTGTGGAACAGACAGGAATGCTCCGTCATAAACACTATACATAGCAGTACACCAGCCAGAAAAGAGAACGAGAAAGAAAAACAAACTTTTTTTTTTCACTTTCATTAATAAATTAAATTATGTCTGTACTCTATAAGCCCTGAACCAGCTGGACCCATGAAACTCAGCTCCTAAGGAGTCAGCTGCTAGACTTACACTAATTGCATGCTGAAGCGTTCAATAGATGGGCAGAAGGATAACGGCAGCAAGCACTCAGATCCATAAAAGTAATCTAAGCTGTAGAGACAAGACAACCAGCATTATATTCACTGTTGTCAAGAAGTGGGGAACGTCGGCGATTCAAAATGTTCTTTCCCACTCACATCGTAAAATAGTGTCAAACGGACATTATTCCTTTTTTCTTGATTTGAAATATTTGAGCAATAGCAACATGCACTCAACAAGTGTGATGACATGCACTCAACAAGTGTGATGACATGCACTCAACAAGTGTGATGACATGCACTCAACAAGTGTGATGACAATGCACTCAACAAGTGTGATGACATGCACTCAACAAGTGTGATGACATGCACTCAACAAGTGTGATGACAATGCACTCAACAAGTGTGATGACAATGCACTCAACAAGTGTGATGACATGCACTCAACAAGTGTGATGACATGCACTCAACAAGTGTGATGACAATGCACTCAACAAGTGTGATGACAATGCACTCAACAAGTGTGATGACATGCACTCAACAAGTGTGATGACAATGCACTCAACAAGTGTGATGACATGCACTCAACAAGTGTGATGACAATGCACTCAACAAGTGTGATGACATGCACTCAACAAGTGTGATGACATGCACTCAACAAGTGTGATGACATGCACTCAACAAGTGTGATGACATGCACTCAACAAGTGTGATGACAATGCACTCAACAAGTGTGATGACATGCACTCAACAAGTGTGATGACAATGCCGTGTCCTGCTCCATGGTAACAAAACGGTAATATAGGCCTACAATGTCAGCGAGTTTCAGTGAAACTGTGTGAGCTACCAGGACACATGAATAAAATAAGTGCTCTTAACTTGAAAAAAAAAATTGTAATGTACCTGTAGATGGGGACATATGAAGCGGCGCAGATGTCAAAGGGATTGTGTTGATCATACTTGAGTTCCTGTTCATCTGTTGGGTTTTTCTCACAAGCTGCCAAGATTTTGCGGGTCTGAGAAGGAGAAAGAGGTATACAACACACTTAGTTCTCTGATGCATAAATATTTCCAGGCTACAATATTCTCAAACTACGGTACCAAGCAACTTTCGTTTCCTTTTGGACCATTATGTACACTTGAAATGCTACTTCACACACATTAATGTTAACTAAACTTTCACAAATTTAAATGAAAGTGGCGGCACCTTGTTTAAAGTAAAAACTAACACCATACCCCAGCTTCGTGGTGGTGGGGGTGGGGGGGGGGGGGGGGGGAATTTAGGTCATTTTCATTTTCGGCATTGTAAAGTAAGCAAACAAACAAAAGCCCTTGAAAAGAGTAAAGATAAAAACACTAACCTGCTGTGCGACATCCGGTTTGGGTCCCAGCTCTAAAAGACGTCTGGCAAAGGAAGCCGCAGTCTTGTAGTTCTTGAGCTTGAAGAATAGGTTGAGGGCTGTCCTCAGGGTGAGGATCAAATGGATGGGCTGGAGGTTGCAGTGTGTGAAGTACGCTGCCATCTGTGGAGCACATTTCCAGACATGGTTGAGTTATAAACATGTACATATCAATTTGTGTTTGAATCTGGCTTAATAGAAGTCAAAGCATTCCATGAGCATATAATTCATGTTTGAATCCAACTTTAAACAGCAGCATATTGGAAAGTTTACAATCTTTTGGTAGAGAATTGGCACAGAAACGGCCATATTAAAAGACATGAACATGAGGAAAGTACAATAATTTCAACCAAGTATTCCAATAACTACAAGCAGGAATCTGGCATCAACATAAAGTTCACTTGAAATTTGGGAATAGGTGTAGTGGTGTTACAGAATAATTGAATTAAGTGTGAAGACGGACTTGTCTGTAAAAATATGTATGGTAATGGTTTGACGCTATAAGGCTATTTGAAAGGCAGGAGTTCCAAATGTAGCGTCCCTTTAACAACGGGACAGGATCTAGAAGGTTGAGAGTCTTGAAAACCCCTCAAAAAGCCCCAGTTCAAGAACCGCCCCTGGTAATTAAAATGCGAGTCATTCACACCATAGTACAATATGTTTCACAATTATACGTACAAAACAACAATACAAAACAGCATGTCCCATTGCAAAAACCACAGCTCTGCATCATTTCTGATGCAATAGCGGTACAGTATAGCCTCAGCGCTCTCACATACCTCACACACTCTCTTCTGTTCTTCTAGGTTAGCCTTGGGCAGTTCCTTACGGGTGTTCTCCATGCTGAGCCCAACGATGTACTCACGGCAAATCTCCATCAGTTGCTGGGCCTACATAGGAACACAAATTATAATATTGAAATAAATGGTCTGGCATGCATGAAGTTAAATCAGCAGGACTTAGAAATCTTTTCGTTACTTACAAATTTTACAATGTACATGTTTAAAAAACAAAAATATACAGGTATAAGAAAAAAATCGGGCCCTGAAAATCTGTTTGATACACATATGTGAAGCGTGATGACAAAATGAGTTACTTCTCGGAATTGAGACCTATGGAAACAGATACGTCACGCTTATAGGTGAAGTTTTTATAATTTATAAGTATGAAATATTAAAAGGCTTATTATACTTCAAAAATATGGCATCAATAGAAAATCTACAAATTTGATCCTTGTGTCGATTTTTGGCCAATATCTCCTTTTGTGGATTGCGAGAAGTAACTCATTTTGTCAGCACACCTCACATACGTTAGCTATGTACGTGCTAGGCTATATTTGGAAACTTTAAAAAAACAAAAATATTGACAAGACTGTTCCTTATGTTTTACGCCCAAAACAGCACAGTTACAAGAATTTAGGCAGTGGGCTGCTTTGCTTAAAACCTGACAGTCAGGGTCAACTCCAGCTAAGTTGGATACAGCGCCCTTGGAAACAGACAAACATCTTTGAGAAAATAACTTCCCCAATCAGGAATCTGATTAACTTCTTCTGCATGCAACACCAGTGAGTGGAAGCCATTCTACAATTGACACTGGTCTCAAAAGAAATAATATAAAAAGATAGTACTAAATCATGTCTCTTGCTATCATGTCTCCCGGCTCTCCATAAATCACATAAAGAATTTTGAAAGAAAATGGGAAATGTTTTCATTGCTTTTATTACTATCATGGTTGCATTAACAATAGATAAACTAGACTAAACATTAGGGGAAAATTGAAAATTGCAAAGAAAATACTAAATTTTCAAGTTTTTTTTGTTTGTTTGTTTTTTAACTAGCATTACATTGGACAATTTCAACAAATCTTCATCTTCAAAGTATCAAATGTATTTTTCTATAACAGGCGAGTCTACCACTTAATGCGACAGATTTTGAAAAAAACCTACATGTTAGACAATTTTTGAGTACAGAGAAGTACACCGACACCTTCAAGATAATTTGACACAGGAAAAGAAAAGAAGGAGTGGGACCTACCATTGGAGCCCTTAGACAATTTTGAACCAAATTGGTCCCTATTTATAATATACGTATCAGCTATAAAGCGAAATCCATCTTACCTCAGCAATCTCCTGCTTGGAGTCGACAACTAACAGTGGTACACTCAACAAAATGCTGCGGAACTTGTCGATTGCGTCAGCAAACTTTCCTCCGGTGGTCATCTGATAAGCCACCTGCAGCTGCTGCACCAGGGTGGCCAGCTTGAGGCCCACAGACGGGATGCCAGCCCGCGCACCCGCCTCTTTCCTGAAATTATAGCAACAGAAATGAAACAAAAATGGACCATCCTAAATTTTTCTCTTTTTTTTTGCATGAAGTAAAGATCACCATCCAAGATTTTGTTTTAGTTTTCTTGCTGTGACAACCATCTCCTTTGAGTATCAATAGCTGAACATAACATGTAAAAAAAAATAATGAAACCACTGAAAAAAACCAGTAGTGCTTCAACCTTTCCTCTATAAAACCGAGTCAAGGCCACTACTATAGGCTTCAGAATCTTATTCCTAAGCAACATTTTCTAATAAAAAATAAGTGAAATTAAATGTGTTTGTGGGTACGAATGTACAGGCAGAGCTGTTAAAGTACTTTTTTAAAAGTACTTAAGTACAAATTTAAGTACAATCTAAAAAATGTGCTTAAGTACAGTAAAAGTACTTTCCTGTAAAATGTACTTGAGTACTAGTACTTTTTAAAAAAGTACTTATGGGTACATTTTGAGTACTTTCTACTAAAATGCTAAAACACTTCAGTGCTAATGCAAAACATCATATTAAATAAGATATCTAGTACATTTGACAAATTAGGCCATTTATTACTAAAAATGTAAATATTATACAAAGCATTTGAATATACAATGTTCGCACTAAACGTAGGTGGAAATGGTCCGTGAAATTGACCAAAAAAAACAAACAAAGACGCCACTAGTAGGTAAGTGATATTATGAATAGAACTTGTTTCAGCAAGACAATGTGATCAAATGTAAGTCAGCCCAAGAGGTCGGAAAGTTCTACAGAAAAAGTATCCAAATTGGAAAATCTAGATACAAAGTTGCTCTTAAGAAAATATAAAATTGATAAAAAGGGCCAGCATAGAAATGGAAAAGTTGAGATCAAAGAACTGCTCGTCACGTCAAAGATCAGCCACTCTCGTGAATGTGATCACAAGCATTGTATTCAATTCATGACGGGCAGTTCTTTGATCTCAACTTTTAACTCTTGGTTGATCGGCTGTGCCCGCCCGGGTGTTTGTTCTGTAAATTATGATCAGAAATGCAGGCACTTACCCTTTCATTATACTTCAAAAGTACTCAAAATGTACTTTAAAAATACTCAAAAGTACTTTTATAAAACGTATCGGAGTACAGTAGTAAAAGTACTGGTTCTCTAAAATGTACCGGAGTACAGTAAAAGTACCGAAAATTGTGACATAAGTACAAGTACCGGAGTATACTACCAGCTCTGTGCACAGGTTTGCGCATGTAAAGACATGTATATGCAAGCAAGCGAACAAACGAGAACATGAGCAGACTAATGCGAGGCACATCAAGGTCAATGAGCAGCCCACGGCCACAGAGACCAAACACGACTCACCAGTTTCTGTGAGGGTACCCAAAGAGCGGTGTGAGCGAGGGCAGGCCCAGGTAGCAAGTGCGGGCGCGGCTGTAGGTCTGCAGGAAGAGCTGCTTGTACGACTCAAACTCCACCACGCCAACCTGGTCGTGCAGCAACTGCCAGAGGGAAGAGAGACAACAATTAAAGTTACTCAAATTGTTTGTTTAACAGCACTGTGAACACACATTGGTCATGCAACCAAAGAACACAAAAGTTATGAGGCTGAGTAGAAGAGAGCATTTATGGTCAGCTGATGCAATTATAGAACCCTTTCACCGGGGAAGCAGATCAACTCATTTAACGCCACAAATAAAAATTCTTGCACGGTTGATTTGCACCTGCATTCACTTGATGAGAATTCTTGCAAAACCCTCGCTATCTCTTTAGGAAGCAGAAAAAAATCAGTGAAAGGTTAGCTCAGCCTTTGCATTTTATCAATCAACACATGAGAAAAGGGAAACCACTCTGGATATGTTTAGGTTCTTTCATAGAGTCATTTTAATGGATAATGCGCTATATTTTCTTTTTGCAGTTGGATTTTCCTTTGCCCAACAACTTCATTCAAAAATTGCCCCATAAGGCAGGGAATGGAAGTGCTTAAGTTTTTGCTCAGCACTGAATGTGCCAAGACAATTTTTTATTTTAAACTGTAATTAATTGGAAAACCATCACGCAACTCTTATTTGTGTGCGTTAGTTACAGTTTTAGGCAGCGGCGCGGCGAAAGTTACTTTCGTACTGCAAGCCGCCCCTGACGGCTCGAGGACCGACCTATGATTCTAGCTTAGATTTTATTCCAATCCACATATCCATGTTAAAATAAAGGTTATAATATAACATTGACTTCCGGATAAAGTGTTTCCACCGAAAATCGGCTGTTTTGATTCAGTTTTGAAACACGATTTCTAAGTTTTGTGACTTTGTTTTATCGTGACACCCACATTATAGCTAAGACACCTGTCTTAGTACTTTTACACAACAAAATGTATCATTCTTTTGCTTACTAAAGAAATGTAGGACTCTTCTTTAGAATATTGATATTATTGGACTCAAATTGCCATTGCTCTGTTATTGAGAAATCAGTATTTTTCTGTGCTAGATCTAGATTTAGGTCTAAATTTTCAAAACATTTTTTTCTCCCCCCCAAACCACTATTTTTTGGTGAACTTACAAAAAAAAGTACAACTCAAGATTATGAATACTTCCGTATAAGATACGAGTGTCTTTCTTCTGTTTGTGAATGCATCTTGTCTTTTTTTCAAGATTATTTTTTTTCAAAATTTTCAGTATCGGATGTTTTGATCCAAATATACACATTTTGTAGAATGTGTGTAAATACTGAACATTTTTCAATATTTTCCAGTTCTATATTCATTAATGGTTATTTTGATGTATCATTTGACTAGATGCGAACATATTTCTTAAGTTTCACCAAAGATTATTAATTTTCTTACTTTCAAATTTTATCTGCATCCAAGCAAAATTGTGTTTCATAATCGCCTCTTACAGGAACCAAAGTTGAAAAATTCACAAATAAACATTACATATGTATTCTACAAATCATACTGAAAATTTTGGTGTATATTATGTTGATATCTATTTGAATTTGTGGCCACAAAGACAACTGTGCACTAGTCACCATCTCCTTTCGCCCTCCCCAAAAAAATTCGTCCACCAGCCCAAAATAATACGTAGCGAATGAGTTAAACACTTTCAGTTGGTAGGAAATTTTGAATTTTGCCACGGTGGCGGCCGAAGTCTACTCTTAGCGATTTTAGACCACCAAGGGATCTTGAATGTGAGTAACTTGCACACGGGACCTCTGAGATTTTTCGCCCTTGTCCCAAGGAGTAGCAGTTGAAGGGCTGTAGAAAGAGTCAGGAGCCCAGACGAAGGGGCAAAGGAGGTGATGGAGTGGGGGCAGAAAGTGGAGACGAAAGCAAACGACAGAACATTGCTAGAGAGCAGGAAAGGAGGTGAAAGTAGTCAATTTTAGAGAAGAAAATGTTTCCGTCGCTTCCTGGATTCGAAACAGGGACTAGACCTGCATGTGAGCCTCAACCAGATTGTCTGAAAATTTTGCGCAACCCCCCCCCAAAAGAGCTTTTGTTGGTGTCATAAGGAAGGACTTCCGAGTAACGAGCGACCACCCCAACAAACACAACAAAGAAGAGACCTAACCCTACCCCTAGGCCTACCCCAATAAAGAACCTGCAACGAGCCTCATGTGAAAAGGCCAGCACAAGTCCAAAATGAAAAATATTTTTAAAATTAAAAAACCACACTCCAAAACAAACAAGGCTTACAAGGAGCATAATATAATCATAATGGCCTACATCTACATATTGCTTGATCTACAATAATAGGGTTTGATACAATAACACAATAGAATTGGAATATGAATCCTCCACATAGATCTAGATCTAGTAAACTAAATAAATCTAGATCTAGAAGAACAAGTGAATAGGATCTAGGAATAGGCCTTGAACTAGAAATCTGCATCCGATTCCGAACAGAGGGGCTCAGCTGAGTCTAGATTCTAAATAAATAAATAATGCACGCACCTGATGAAATGCCTTTTACCAACATTAATATTACAGCACAACCTATGATAGGGTTTGACAAAATAGAATTGGAATATGAATCCTCCATTGAGGTCTATAATGATCTATATAAATCTAGATCTAGATCTAGATTCTATTATCTAAGTGAGTCGGACTGGAATGAATCCACACGATCTGAACAATTGAATTTGTCAACAAAACGAAATTCAAAATGGCCGCTCGAGCACGAAACTGAAAGTAGATAATTTAGGTCGTCGTCTTTTTTCGTATTCGCATTTCTACTCAGGTTCCGACTATTATGTCGGAAACGCCGACGTCGGCAGTCGGCGGAGCGCGCGTCGGCGGTCGGCACGAAAACGAAAGTGCCGACAAAGCCGACGGGAGAAAAAGGGGGCGCTGGCAGTCGGCCAGGCCTCGCACTACGCACATTGACTGATACAGGTGGGCCTAGCGATAGCATCGGCCGCCTCGCGGGTCGGGTCGTGATTGTCGGATTTCAGACGATTGTCGGCAAACATGCAGGTCTAAGGGACCTTTGAAAAAGAGACCTTAACCTCTAGGCCCCGAAAGCCCCCACTTGTGTGTGTTAAGGTTTTTACTAAGTGACTTCTCGTCTAACTTACCCTCATGGCAGTCTCAAAGGACCCGGCCAGGATGTGGTCCACGGGCAGTTGCGAGTTGTTGCACCAGACCTGCCAGTAAAGAGGAAGGTGAAAAAGTTAAACATAACGTCTTCCACATATTACAGTCTATCAGATGATGCAATTTCATTTACCAGTATTCAAACAGCAAAAAAAATATTACAATAATTGCCACTAGGAGAAATGAAGATTTTTTAGTTTTAGTAAGTGTTTTACGGCACTTGCAACCCAAGGTCATATAAGTGCCAAAGATTAGAGATGTTACAAGAGAGTAACAAACACAACAAAGAAGGAGGAGAGATAAGGAGGACGATGTGTGACAGGAAAGAAGAAGCAAACCACACCAGAACACCCGCCAACCACCCACAGAAATTGATTACAGGTCAGTGAAAAGAGTACTAAGACACACAGGCAGCCATTCATATGTGCATATGCACACAAACACACAGACTCCTCTTTTCAAGTTGAAATTGTTCCAGAATGCTATTAGGTCTGCCGAGGCAATAATATAGATTGTAAAGCGGAAAGCAGAGCTTGCTGTTGAGAGAGATTTCCACAAAACATATGCTATATCCTGTTTTACTGTACCTGAGACTGGCTTGTTCCCTTAGTGGGAGGCACAAAGTAACCCTCTTCTCCTGCTCCTGTCGCTGTTCCGCCAATATCCTGGAACAAAACAAAAAAAAGATAATTAAAAGAAAAAAAGGCATTTTCACAGTGGGAAAGAAACACTGAGGATACAATACATAGGCAGGAAAGGATAACCAGCACCTGGGTCAGAAGAATTTCAGAATAAAAGTTTCTCAATAAAAAATACAAACACCAGGTTTTTATAGCAAAATACAGTCAAACCTGCCCTGAGGGCCACCTCTATAAGACGGCCACTTTCCATTCCCCCCCCCCCCCCCCTGCGTTTTTCTATATAATTTAACTGTGTAAAACGGGCACCTGTCCAACGCGGCCGCGGCCACCATATTTTAACACACAACCCCTATCACACTAAGCAATAACACCTGTCTTAGACGGTCACCTTAGTGACTCCATTACGTTTTGCCATAAATTGTTCATTGGCCCCTGGCGTTGTGGGCGAGCCGTCATAATTCAATCACCTGTCGTTGTTGTTAGGTAGTCCCTCTCCAACCGATCATGTTGCGCAGGCCCCTCCCACTGTTGACCAATAGGTACCAATTTTCAGCTAATGGTGAGGTAAGCGTGTGATCCCTCATAACCCATAAGCCCCACCCTGAACTCATACACAAATCGTAAGTGAGATGAGTGGTCACAGTTTACCTAGTCTGTAACAAATTAAGAAAGGTAGTAGTCAACATCAACTTGCGACAGAAGCATCGCTCGTTCTCCGAGGGGTGGCGACGCATGTGTTTGTTTTAACATGGCACTCGGTCTTCCTCGTCTGATACATTTCGTTTTATCATCACCCTTGCACAAAATCAGCAACAAAACAAAAATTACAAACAAAATACAAACCAACAACAACAACAACAAAAACAACAACAATGCAGCCCCTTTCAATTTGGACCTCAGATGGGAATGGTTTGTTTTCTTCATCTTGATCAGTCCTGCCTAAGACGGCCACCTGTCTTATACAGCCACTTTTCTCCTTGACAATGGGTGGCCGTCTTACACAGGTTTGACTGTAAATTGCAACAACATTAAGGATGTGGTTCGATTGAGGGGAGATGCCTCAAAACTCTTCCTCAGGAAGGTAAAAAAAAACACAACAACTCAAAACTATTTTTGGCACAAGACAAATTGAGCAATTAAAGGACAGATGTGTTTCTTTCGTCATTAAGTTGACTCAACATGTGGTCTAGAGGAGCAATGTAATGTAAATCTAGTAAGATTTCAGGAATGTACTGGAATTACAAAAACAGTAAAATCATCAACTTCGACATAGAAAAGAAAAGGTTAAAATAAATTACTGGAATGAAGAAAAAAAAAGACACCCAATACACAAACAGACGACAAATTCTGCCAAAGAGAAACGAGTGAAAAAAAACAAACAAACAAAATAAAACGCAAATGCAAATATGAAACAGTGCATCCTCAGGATGTAAAAAATGAACTAGCGGCATCAAAACACAGTACCATCACCACCAGTCTCTCAGAGCTCACCAGATCTGCCGGCAGCTCCAGGTCATCATCGTCTACGTCCCAGCCTCCTCCCTCTCCGGCCTCAACAACTTCCTCATCCAGACCATCACCGAAGCCACCATCTGCCAGGACAAGATATTAATAAAAGTAAGTTTTCTATATCTTCATTCAGTGGTTTTAGTTTTAGAAGGAGTTTTACGGCACTTGCAACACAATAAGGTCGTATAAGTGCCGAAGATTAGAGGTGTTACAAGAAAGAAACATAAAAAAGAAGGAGGAGAGATAAAGACAATAGTTGTTTCATATGAAAGAAGGAGCAAACCATACAAGAGCACCCGCCAACCACCCAAGAGAGTTTTTAATTTGTTAGCTTTTGACAAGGACAAAGACACAATAACTGTAAATTAAAGCTTAGAAAAAGCAAGACAGACAGAAACAAGAGAGGGAAAGAAATATAACATAATCTCTTCGCATGCATGAATGCGAGCACGCACACACATGCAACAGACAAAAAAGGAGCTGTCACCTTCATCAATCATCAGGGGCTCCACATCATCTCCCCAGCCACTTCCAGCACCCATGTCGTCCTCGGCGAGCAGAGTCGCAGCCACAGATGACTGCTTGCCTCCCGCTGGATAGAAAAAAATGAGAATGAGTATATCATTCATTGTGTAGTTGCCAGGAAGAGAAAAGACCAATTGACCGACAACAGAGGCAGAGAAAAAAATTAGGACATCAAACTATAACAACCAAAAATAAAAAAACAAACAAACAAACAAACACAAATACTTTGGAGGCTGGTGGAAGTGAAGCTCACAGCCAGTCAACAAAACCCTAGCCATGCTTAATGGTTGACAGATTACAACAATGAGGAAACGCTGAAAGCAAGTAGCAAAAGGTGACTACACCATGAAGTTCACAAAAAACAACAAAGTAAAATACTTTTTCCTTAAAAACAACAACACTCCCACCATCCAACCAACAACAAAAAACACACACACAAAAAAAAGAAGCAACAATACACCCACCAACCGATCAATCACAATGTAAATTTTGAAAAAATACTGAAAACACACTAACCAATAAATCAAATATCCTCAAAAATACATTGGGGTAAAAAAACTTTTAAAAAACAACAACACATTATCAAAGTAAAAAAGGAAATGCATCATACCTGCACGGGCAGCCATGGCGCCCACGAAGAATCCCTTGGGCTGAGTCAACAGTGGCCAGTTGCTCTCCTGCTGCGTGATGGGCACGGGGGGCTGCAGGAGAGAGGCGTTAGGGTACAGGTCGGGCACGCGCTCCTCCTCACCAAACGACTCCTTCAGCTCCTCCGCATCCTCCTCCAGCCCGTGGGTAGCTGCTGTCAGGTAGGCCAGGGACTCTGAAAGAGGAGAAAAAGAGGGTTTAGTTTTATGATTTCAGAAAAGAGAATCCCGTTGACACAATAACTGTCATTTAGAGCAGGAAAAAGCAGGACAGACAAACTTAAACATTGTACGAACAGAAAACTGTTCTTTTGTACTGTTTGAGTAAAGAGAAGCACACCGACACTAACGGTTGTTTGAGCAGACCCTACAGAAACAAAGGAGAGAGAGAAAAGAAATAAGACCTACCGGTGGTGCACTCATACTACCCAGTTTGAGTAAAGAGAAGCACATCAAATCATGAAAGGCAACAGAAACACAGACAAATCAGAGCCCCACCAAGCAGCCACAGTGAGAGAGCCCTGGTTTACAATATTGCTAATTTCAGTCTAATCAGACAACTTGTAAAAACTATTGAATAGCACAAAAAATATTTTTAGAATTTCGTCTGCAAGTGCAAGCACATTTAAACAGAACATTTCACTCTTAAAACTGCTTCACAAGGAAAGACAGCATATGAATAAAAAAACAAACACAAGTTCCCTGCGTTCACGTATTGAAAAATAAATTGATACATAAAATCCTCATCGCACATACAAAGCCCAATAATGACAGTGAGCAGAAAAGATTAAGATTAGCAAGTAATAAAAATCAGCCCTTAAGTTTAACTCATTCGAACAAGCTGTTTATTTCTTCCTTGAAATTTCCATAACAGTAAGCTTGGCCATGACAAAAATAGACCACTGACATTAAGCTGCAGCCAGTTTTCATTTTCAGTAAAGAAAGTGTGTCGGAGCCAGCAGGCATTTGCAGTCAAAATTTTCTTTCCTTTCCACTGAGGAGGTTGGAAGTTGAACTAAACGGTCGACCATTATCAGAGAATGTGAACAGGAAATATCAAGTCCACTTGACACTTACTCTGTCCACAGCCCTTCAAGATCTTCACCCTCTCACTCACATCCCCGAGCAGCAGAGCATTCTGGTAGTGGCCACTCGTGTCCTTGCGGATCTCAGCTGGGGGGAAAAAAGAGAAAATAAGATAAATATAAACTCTTTCTTTTTCTTCACTTGCATCATTCCCCCAACCTTTGAGGCAATCAACAGTGGGTGCTTTAACCTGCAGCATAACAGTTTTTCATCTATATGGTCATTTATTCAAAGAGACCCAAGGGGAGATGCAGACAATTATGAACAATAAAAAGTACTTTGACAAGATAACAACTCTTTAGTACTGAGGAAAAAAATAAGACAGACAGAAAAGTAACAGAGGGAAAGACAAGAAGTAAAACTTACTAGTGGCACCCCCCTACCACCACCAGCTCAACACAATGGGCTTGTCATAAGAAATGTAGGGAAATATAATCATTCATTCTGCAATTTTTAAAAACCATTTAGATGTACATTGTAACACTATTGTTGTCAATTGAGTTCTTTGTAATGTATCTGCCTCTTAGTGCAGTCACAGCTATGAGAAAGCTGCCCTACGTGGTAAAACAGATATGAGCACACGTCCACGAATAGGACATGACCCAGTTACTGTCCACAGCGTAAACGATGGAAGCTAGTACCAAGGAACTAGTCCAAAGCTGGACTGTGGGCGATTAAAAGTTAAAATAACCCCACACCCAAGGAAATGCTCTACATTTGCTTTCATTACTTTTGTTTTTTTAAGTTCGAAAGAAACCGACTGCTTGTATGAAACAGTAGTTGGTGGGATTTCTCTAAGCAAAATATGTTCTTAGACAAATGGAACTATGTAAAAGTCTGCATTACACAGTCTTACAGAGAACGTGCGCATTTCAGATGAATATCTACAAATGAATTCCAGGGAAAGAAAGAAATCTTGAAGCCATGAAGAGGAGCAAACGCTGAAGGGATGTTAAAATAAACTTCATCAGCACGGTGCAAATCTCCAGCAGAAAGTAGGTTCTACGTGCTTTATAATCCATGATCACTCCAGCAGACCTTACAATACTCTTAAACATTCTCAGCTTCCTAACCATTCCTATTCCTCTCTACAAAAACACTTACCACCCATTAATCTTCATAATTTTCCCTGGATTTCTTCAAATTTATCATTACCCCTGTAACATTCTCAGCATCCAAATCATATCCATACAGATCTACTAAAAAAAAAAAAAGAAAAAAAAAAGGAGGGAAAAAACGGAAAGAAAAACAAAAAAGAAGAAAGACCCACTCACCAATCTTCATCATCTTGCGAAGTTTCTCCAAGTTGCCAGTGATGAGGTAGAGGAAGGAGAGCCTGTCAAAGTTCTTGGTCTTCTGGTAGGCCATCTCCACAATCTGGTGGTTCCCCTGGAGCAGCGCCACCTCCCCCAGCTTCTCCCAGCACGCCGCATCGTCCAGCGCCTTAGCCGCATCGAGGGCAATCTGACACGGGAACAAAAAGTCAGTAATGTTTCATCAGGATTTCGGATAAGGCACAGACATAAGTTGTACTGCACTTAGACAGACATACAAATGTTGCAATAAGAAAGTTTGAAATTATGGAAAACCATGTCTTACAGACCAAACTGGAAGCACAAACATTCTTCAGTGCCTCAATTGTCAAACACTTTATCGTGATACATCTACATCAGAATACAAACATTATTTACTTACATCTTGTTAACATAAGCATTAAAAAGAAGTGAAACAAACTTTCTGCTGTTGCTGTGAACAGAGCAACAAAGTAAACAGAAAACGTCATTCATAGAAGACAGACAAACTCGTTTGTTTCTGTAAATCTATTTCAATCAGAGCCACACTTCTAATGTCCTTTCAGCATTTCTTTTCTTTTCTTTCCACTATAAACATTTACCCATGTGACATAGAGCTGCAGGTCCTATAATTTAGGACCCATGGAAATTTTTGGTAGAGCCTCATACGTACCCACTTTGTGTCTGAGAGCACTGATATTATAATAATGCTCTATATACAATATTTGAACCCTCAAAAAAGCTTAATGTATTACATCTGAAAAAAAATATCCTTAAAACAAAAAAACTTGAAAATGAGGAACAGACAGTAACCAGCTCACTTCAATGTTGCCGCACTCCAGAGCCAAGCCAAAGCGAGTCTTTTCGTCCTTGACAAAGTGCAGAGCCACCTCAGGGTAGCCCTTCTTCTGCAGGTACGAGATGATGGACTGGCCCACCAGCTTGGCGTTGCGCACCATATGGAGAACCTAAACACACACACACAGGAGACATTATGGTTTGGTTTAGTAACGGTTTCACTGCTCTCGCAACTACATAAACATAAGACAGACATTTAAGCCTTAGGCTCACGTACCTTTAGCCTTCAGCCCAAATTTTAGTTTTACTTTTAGTAAGAATTTTACGGCACTTGCAACACAATAAGGTAATATAAGTGCCAAAGATTAGAGGTGTTACAATAGAGTAACAAACATAAAAAAGGAGGACAGATAAAGACTACAGGTGTTTAATAGGAAAAGGAAATGTTTAATCTATGGCAATTAAATACTGACCTCCTCGTACTTCCTGTTGACCAGAGCCAGCTTGAACTTGAACTCCGTGGGGTCAATGCCGAGCATGCGGGGTCGACACTGTCGGTCCAGGCAGTAGACAGAGTTGCCCTTGATGCGGGTGATGTAGATGGGCAGGTCCAGAGTACGGATGATGCCATGGTCGCTGGGAAATGAAATACAAATATGAGGCTAAAAATGATGATATAATGAAGACGCATTTCCATATATTGGGAGGAACGATGGAGCGATAAAAAAAACATTGCACAAAGATGTAAGTTCCAGGTTATGGCTAGTGAGGGCAAGACCAGAAACATTTTGCCAAGAAGCAGTATACCAGAAACACTAAATAAAAAATAAAACAATGAAAAAAGTAATTTTCAATAAAGTTACTCACCCATTAGTCAAAGCATATTTGATGTGGTTGGAGGTGGTGTAGAGGAAGACCCCACTTTCATCCCAGGCACCAGACTTGATGCGAATGTTCTCATGGATCGTGCACAGGTTCTCCAGTTTACGGTTGCAGATGGAGATCACTGAAAAGAAAGAATAAATGCTATTATCAAACAAAGCTAACATCACAACACCACAGCCATCATCACGCCTTCAGGGTTCAGTAAAGAAAACAACATACGAACATTAAAGAGATGTTTTCTCCAGGGTAAAACTAAGAAAATAAGAAACAACATGAAGAAGCAGGACGACGTTAGTGGCACCCTCTGTAAGCAAGATGCCAAATATTCAGAACCACTGCTTTCAGCAAACTGACAACATCATACTCAGTCATTTCATTCCAATTTTGTACTTGAGGAGTATGGTTTCTAAAATTCTTGAAACTTAGTCTCATTCACTTCAAGTTTCTAGGAACAGCATAAAGAGTTTTATGACACAATAATCACCACACTGAGCATGGACAGGAAAAACAACAAACATATCAAAATAAAGGGTAGATCCCTAGTTTGCCACTAGTCAACACAATGATTGAAAGCAACACAGACCCTGCCAAGAACAGACACGGGCAAAGAAAAACAGAAATGACGTAGAAGAAACAAGACTGCAATAGATTTTCCACTGCAGATGGACAAGAAAGAAAAACAAGACTTGAATAGAATGCACAATCAAACAGTAGTTTAAGCTCAAATATGAAAAATCATTCAGTGAAGGCTGAAAAAAAATTCAGTTGCAAAAACATAAACCTTTATAAAAACTTCGCAAACAAGAACTCCAAGGGCAAATTATGTAAGTGCTTGAAAAAAAAGTGCAAAAAATAATACTGAGAGATAAGAATTCTATCTAAATAATTAGGAAAAACACATACCATGCTTGCTGAAGAGAGCCACGGTAGTCATGTCAGCCGACCAGATGACGTTCTTCACCTTGGAGATCTTGACAGAGGCCAAGATTCTGATACCATAACAAAAGTGAACAGGTATAAATCACAGACCACATTCATAATGCCACACTAAAAAATAACTGCTTAGAATCAATATGCTCTTAACACATTCTTATATCTAAAACAAAAAAATAAATAAGCTTTTGAATCACAAAAAAACATTGCATACTTGAATCAGTGTAAAACCCCATGATTTTTATGATCAGCAGCAAAACTGATCCCCAATTTTTAAAATACAAGAATACCTATCCTGAAGCACAATTACAAAATGTCACCAATTTTTTCTATTCCCACTGTAAAGAATAAAGAACTTTAAAATCTGGCAGAACTGAACTGGTTTCAGATTCACAATAACATTTAAGATCATTAGAAGCGAAGACATTCAGTTTAAGCTACCTCTCCGCAACACCAAATGAAAAATCAAGTCTTCTTATTAAACCTCTTCATTAAAAACCACCAGTATACAGTTTTACAGAACAGCAACAAACAATTAACCACAAAAGCAGCCAGAGGGAAGCGAAAGCAACAATCAATGCAAAAACTCCTGAGAACACTTAAGTCCAACACCACGATGACTGCTTCAAGTAAGACTCCACCATAAGTTATTAAGGAAAGTGATGTATGATGGAGTCTTACACTGAGCAGTGGATAAAAAGTACTGAGGTACACTCAGAGAGAAAAGTAAAGCTTACCGTTTCTGCTGTACATCAAACAGAGTGACAGTGTCTGTTTCCTTCAGCAGGAGGAAACCACTGCCTGCGTAGAAGATGTCCTCACAGTTGGGAGCTTGCACCTTCTTGGTGATTTCATTCTTCAAGTTCTTGATGATAATCTGCGGAAGAATTTGTAACAGTAAGTTTCCTTTAAGCCAGCTTGGTTATCTAGTTTCAGTAAAGAGTCAAAACCGAATGAAATAAAAGGAGACGAAAGAAGCAGAACCTACTCGTGACACTTTCCAACCCGCAGTGTACATACATTATGTTCCAACGGAAGATGAACAATAACCCTTCTGAAAGTGCTGTGTACAGACTTATTATCAGTGATAAACTCATCACCTCACCGAATTGTTCTTCCCTTTATTTATAATCCTTACTTTTTTTCCCTGCTAATCAACAATATAGATTTCTTAATCTCCACAAGTTAAATTAATTTTTAGTGCCTAAACATGTTAAAAAGATTAATCAACAGTGACGTTGGACATTCTAAGCACATCATTTTGCCTTTTACCATCCATTTCAAAAAGCGACTTGTTACAATTGAAAACTAATTGTGAATGGACTTAATGACGTCTTTGACCACCACAGTGCAGTTTCAGAAGTTAGCCTCCAATTCCAATGCCAATCCAACATTTTAGGTAGAGAATGAGTTATTATAAACAACATCAACCCACGTTTCACAGAACCATCTAGAATCTGCCCCCATTAGCACGATACAGATCATTTATGAAGTGGGCTACTTTGATTAAATCTGTCGAGGCCAACCCAGGATAAATGTGCCCCAGCATTCCAGTCGACAGACTGTGTTATTCAATAAAATAACCCTCCCATGTAGGAATCGAACCCACATCTTCTGTAGGCAACAGTGAAGAGACTAATCATTACACCACAGAGGCATGCAAATTATGTATTTAAAAAGCTGTAATCAACAGTGTGACATGTCAACCTGTCAAAACTTTTTTTTTTAAAGAAAGAAAAAGAAAAACCAAACTACTCACAGAATGAGTCCTGTCCAACACAGCAAACCTGTTCCTTGCCACCCACACAGCTGTCAGACCAGAAGACCTTTTGCCTTCAGGAGCTGAAAGAGAGAAAACTCAAAAGATGAATACTAACCACTACCATGATGTTTCTGCGTTTATCATGTACAAGATTCTTTCTTTTTACTATCACTATACCTTCTAAATCAAAATGTGGCTGCCTGAAGGCAAGGGGCCCTACGAAGTAGTAAAAAATAGTCACATACGTAAAGATCAGATTCACTGCACGCTGAGATCTTGTAGGAATACGCAAAAAAGAACAAAAAATACATTACTATTATTACAGAAACATCAAGGAGAGTGGGTGGTATCAAAAATGAACGTAGACCTTGATTTTCCCAATCAAGACTGCCCAGCCTTGATATGAGGCCTACACTTCCATCATACCCGTTTTATCTGCACGAAACTCTCTTGTCAACATGGAAAGCTGAGTAAACACTGCAAACGTGACCGGAAAAAATTGAACTAACTGACCTCGTAATGACAAGCGTTTAAAGTTTGGAGAGCAAAAGCTATTTTCCGTAAGGCAAAATTAATAATAATAATAATAATAATAATAAAAATAATAATAATAAGAGTCCTCAGGGCCTGGCAGTCACCCTGTTATACAGCCCCAGCTTTGCCGTTTTGTATTTGCCTGTGAACTTTGGCACTGAACATTCACCAAAGTTATGAGCCACCCCAGAAGAAGGGTAGAGTTCAACAAAAACAAAAACAAAAACAAAAAAACTCAATAACTGGCAAGGACATGTGAAAGAGAAGGAGCAATTTTAAAAAATTTCAACACACATCCTAAATTCTACAGTTACGGCACGTTTATCGGTATAGCAGTATAACAGGTCCAAATTCAGTAAACACTGGAAAAATCAGTACATTATGCAGCCTTCTCTTTCGCCTAAAAGTAAATATGAGATGGAGAATTCCATGCTGTGCTACTCACCATCAGGGTTTTGGGAGTCAGAGTCCTTGGGCACCACATACAGGTCATAGGTGCTGTTCTCAACATTGCTGGTTTTCTGAAGAAATATAACAAATTCTAATCAATGTCCTTTTAATGACCATCAGCTGGTCTCATAATCATAGTATTGCCGAAAGGTCTTGCGAGATATAAGAAAGTTTTAAAAGTAAAAACTTCCTGCATTACAAAGAAATGCATACAATGTATGCTATCTTTTCATTCGCCAAAATTTAAAAAAAAACATTCTAGAAACAAATTTGCAAAAATACACCAAAATTCTTTCAACTTGCTTAGAAGTTCAGTGAGTTAACTCTACTTACAAACCGACTACAATACAAATCATATGTCATAATACCTAGCAAGAAGCTAAAGAATATAAAACATCAATATTACAGCTTATTTAAATGTCAAATATACCCGCAAAATCAAGACATGGCACTGAAAGATGAAAAGGAGCAAAGAGAAAAGAAAACTTATTAATGCAATCCTCCAACTATTCTGTCTTTCAGTATACACAAGAAATCCAAGACCACTTCACCTCAGTATAGTCATACAGAGCGTATTTTTTCCCTCTTTTCAACATACGAAAAATATAAACAATAGATAAGAAATGATGAAGACGAGGGTACTGTAGGGTATACCTCCAACAACTTTCTTTTCGAAGCCAAATAAAGAACTACTTACAGTGACCAACAGGATGGCATTCTCAGCTGGGTTGTATGACATACAGGAGACGGGAGACCGAGACCCACTGAGGACAAAATGTAATAAGTAAGTAAAAATACAGATATTACTCATAACAAAGTTTTACATGAATGAAACTACAGACATTTACCATGGGACAAGTAATAAATGAAAATACTGACATTAGCCAAGAAAATTGTGAAAATGTTGAGATACCTCTCACAACACTGGTATAGCAAAGTAAAGAAAAATTCAGCTGAGCTTTCCCCACGCTTTAAACAGAATTATACACTAGCCTAGAAAGTAACGACAATTAACTTCAGTAGAAAGATAACAGTAAGTACAAGCACCCTCTAGTACCAACACAAAAAAGACATATCATTTGAATCATTTTAAGTATGCATTTTAAATAAAAGGAAAAACTGAATATATATGAAGATAGGACAAAACAGGGCTATCTTTTGCCTCAATTTTTAAATGTTATTTAACTCTTTTTATCCTAGCCGTATCCCTACGGACTCTGTACCCGTCCTGGGGCTGCCGCGCCGTTTGAGTCGGAAGTCAGTGCGTATAGTTAAAAGTGCTATATTTCTTACTTTTACTCTAAGGTTTTAAAGGAAATTTGGCAGTTATGTTAGAAATTGAAAGTAGTTTTTGTAAATGTATGTGGTTAGGAAATACACCAATAGCACAATGTAGATTTTGAGGTGTATTCCACCCTCGAACTTGACCCTGATTGCCACGCCCACGACGTCCCACTGGATTTTATAGATCTAGATCTAGCCCTACCCATCGAACACGAATTCCAGTACTGACCCCTTCACCATGATCTGAATCGCTATTAGATGAGTCTAAGTCATGTTTCTTATCATCCACAACGGAATTTACGGCACTTATTTCAGAGTCACTATCATCAAATTAGTATCATTCCCCCTCACAACCCAGCGCAACTTCAAAAAGTACTTCGTCGGTCGCGAATGTGCGTTTTCGAGACATCTTTCAAGCTTCTACACCCATCAAAAACAAAGAAACTACTGTTCATTGGAAAATTAAAATATTCACACAGAGCTAGCATCGCCGTATTTGCGTATTTTGGTAATTACAAACAGAACTAGCTTCTTTGACGAGACCGTATCGCTGTTCCGAGAATACTCGTAGCCCGGACTGGTCCTCGTTACGAGTATACTCGTAGCCCGGATAAAAAGAGTTAACCAATAAAACAAAGAAAAGACGAGATTAACTTACATGTCCTCCAAAACTCATAATATAAAAAAAAAAAAGAAAAAAGACCATGTACTGGAATAAAATTTCACTCGTTTATTCTAATAAAAAGTTTGCTCTACTCTACATGGCTGCTTTCAGTTCGAATACAGAACCACACTTACATCCGCTTCTCTTTTTGTTTTTTGTTTTTGTAAAGTGTTTTACGGCGCTCGCAACTGCATAGGTCGTATGAGCGCGCGGGACACACCTAATATTTTCAGTTGGTAGGAAATTTTGAATTTTGCCCGGGTGGCGGCCGAAGCCTACTCTTATCGATTTTAGACCACCAAGGGATCTTTAACGTGCGCAACTTGCACACGGGCCCTCCGAGATTTTTCGCCCTTGTCCGAGAAGGCTAGGTGTAGATCTTTCCTACCAGAAGATCAGGGGTGTGGCAGAAAGACAGCAGTAAGGAAGGGCCAAGGAGTAGCAGTAGAAAGGCTGCAGAAAGAGTCAGGAGCCCAGAGGAGGGGGCAAAGGAGGTGAGGGGGTGGGGACAGAAAGTGGAAATGAAAGCAGACAACAGAACATTGCTAGAGAGCAGGAAAGGAGGTGAAAAGAGACAATTTTAGAGAAGAAAATTTTTTGGTCGCTACCCGGATTCGAACCCGGGACCTTTGAATGAGAGGCCAACACCTTAACCTCTAGGCCACGAGAGCCCCCGTTCCACTTCTCTCCTACCTACTATAAAGAAACACATAACCCCCCCCAAATAGCAGTTTGTCCTCTCACCCTCTCAGCTGCATGACGGCCACGTCCTTGGAGGTGGTGAAGTCCAGCTTCCTGAGGTACTTGTCATGCACATAGTACAAGATGTTTCCATGTACGGCAAAGGGAGGTCGCTCTTTCTCCAGCTTGAAGATGATCATGCCTCCGTCATGGCCTGCAATAACATATGAAAGACGCTAAAATGGATGTACAGTTTTAAAATCTTTAGGCACTTGTACTTAGAATCTTTTGAGAAAAGTCAAACTATTGAAAATACAGGGCACAAATGATCTACACTCAGCAAAAACATTAATATTTTTTAAAAGGTAGGTGATTTAGCTAAAAAAAAAGAATGTCACAAAATTTGCAATCTGTTTATATACTTACAATTTCTGGTTGCTAGCCTAACTAAAAGTCCCATTTACAAACAATTTCATGATAACACCACGTCCACTGTTCCTCCTAAAAGTTCATCTCAGCAGTATCAACCCTCAGCAAAATCAACCCCCTCCACACTTTACCTTTGCACTAAAATCTTATTCCTGTTAGTCTCTGCAGACCATCTAAGGCACATCCACAGAAGACTTCATAAGCATCAAGCGTAGTTAACATTTGAAGACTAAGGGGTAAGAATCAGAGATGTCCACTGTTTACGAAACAGAAAAGGGAAATTTGGTCTTTGAAGATATCTCTGCTTCCTTCTTACCACCTGTTTTAAAGTAATTTTACCTGTAAATTTTTTGCAGTTTTCCCTACGACACATTAATGATATATAACCAAGGCCCATGACAAAATCGAAGTTGAAAAAGTACTATTTGGACATATATGCTTTTTCCCCCATAGACTTCATTTGTAGAACACCTTTAATAAGAACACATAGCAAAGACAACTTCCCATTTCATAAATAATGTAAACCATTAGCCAGAACATACCAGCGGCAAACAGGTTAAGAGTAGGATGGGCTCCCATCACCCAGAACCTATCATGCTCTCTGCGGAATGTCTGCACACCAGTCCTGGAAAAAAAATAAAAATATCCGAAGTCAAAAAGAAGTATGACAACTTGCGGATAACAGAACTATAAAACATCTCATTTATAAAACACTCCACCCTGTTCAAACTCACACTAGATCATCATTTCATGAAAGCTGGACAAACTTTAAAAACTTGATAGAAATAGAAAAAAAAATAACAACCACACTGCTACTAGGCCTATTTAGAGTGACATAACAAAAGCAATATCAAAACTTAAACCTCCTAGGCCATGACTCAAATACAACAGCATATTGAAAAAATGTCAATACATCTCGTAGCCTGAAACTTCCCACAGGTATGTACACCTACATTACAGAACTCTCTCTCTAATCAGCGACAAGTCCTACCTTTTGCTCATGTCCCAAACGCGGATGCTCTTGTCCTCTGAATTACTGAGGATGAGTTCTTGGCGAGGGTGGAACAGACAGCAAGACACATTGTTGTAATGGCCACGGCATGTATCCACTTCCCAAGCTTTCGCCTCTGAAAAAGCATACACAATTTTTAAAGATAAATAAATATTAGATTGCACAATATTAATGCAAGTCTGAATTGTTCTTGCCAAACAAGATTAACCTCTCACTGAGACAAAACAATAAAAGACAAATAGACAGTGCTAGGAAAAGATACATAATAAACAAAGGATAAAACAAGAAAGGAAGAGGAGAGAAAAAGAGGTTAATAAATATTATGTCACAACTCGTAACCTTTCTTTAAATCGCATAAAACCTCTCAGAAAAAAAAGAGACTCCAGCTCAGAAAAAAAAAATAACAGTAGAGAAAGCATTTTATCTATATCACAAAGAAATCATTATCAAGTCTCCAAACAGTCTTTTCTTTTTTTAAACTTCGTGGCATTCGACAAGGTCCGACAAAGCCACTGACCGTTCATCCTCCACAGCTTGATCTGCCTGTCATCAGCACCAGAGACGATGAGTGGCAGGGTCGGGTGGAAGGCGGCCCAGTTGACGCCACGGTCATGACCTTCCAACACATGCTTCACGATGGCGTCCGAGGTGCCGAAGAGATCTGTCTGTCCCGGGCCACGGAGTCTGTCCTCGATGCCACCTGGTCCTGGGGCCACATTCTTCTTTCTCAGTCCTGGGAAAAACAAGAACTGGGGAGTCAGTTAATCTTATATACTGTAAAGGGTACAGAGCCTACTTACAAGAGGGCATGCACTATTTAAATATAACGCATAAAAGCAACATTAACCACAACATTTCACCTGTCTCTGAAAAAGATCTTCCATGACTGATTAAAAAAACAGATAAGATTTTTATTTAACAGAAACTTTATTTGAGAAAAAGACTAGAGTAGGCCATTGACCCTGTGAAGATCAATGATCACTGAGAAAAAGCAAGGTGACAAGACAGAAATAATGAAGTGAAAGGAAAGGGGTACGGTCAACCAATCCGAAAAGTCCCCCAGGCAATGAAGTTTGGTGAAGTCCGCACTAACTGAACATAGTCAATCCGAAAGAAAATAAAACCCGCCTATATTTGTTTTTCCTGTACAGCAACCTCACTAAACCGAAAACCCACGTTAACCGAAGTAAATCCAGCAGTTTCACTAATTTCAGTTTGGGCGGATTCCACTATGTATAACTGCATCAAAAACAAACATACCTGAGATGTCCCACACTCGCACTGTTTGGTCCAGGGACGCTGATACGACAAGATCCTCTGACGGGTGGAACTGAGCACACATGACATAATGGCTGTGTCCTGTCAGCACACTGATAAAAAAAAAAAAGTGTTTTTAATGAAAATACAGTCAAAATTGTCCCAAGACTGCCAGCCATTGTCAAAGTGAAAAGTGGTTGTCTAGGACAAGTGGACGTCTGGGACAATGTTAGTATATGATATCTTTGTTTAATATGGGGGGGTGGGGGTTTGTGTGGTGAGTTGGTCATCAAAACAGGTGATTGTCTTCAACAGCTGATGTGAGCAGGTTCGACTGTATGCCACCTCTATATTTGCTTTCTCACTTTCAGAAACTAGATATTATTATTACCATTTCTCATTTCTGACAGGTTCACATAACAAAGAAAAGTCTATGAATATCCATTATCATTTAGCAATAAAGAGTATATAAAAAAAACGCTAGGTCAAACTTGTAGATTCCTCGAAATAGTACAATAAAAAGTATATAATTAAAATTATAGGTGCAGTAATATTAAGAAAAGAAAAGGTTTTGGTTTTAGTTTAAGTAAGTTTTAAGGCACTTGCAATACAAACAGGTCATATAAGTGCCAAAGTTTAAAAGCGTTACTAGAGAGTAACATACAAACAAATTAAGAAGAGATAAGAACAATAGATGTTGGATGAGAATGAAAGAGAACAAAACACAATAGAACACCCTCAAACCACCCACCTGAAGCAGGGTCCCCACCAAATCCTGGAAATTTCTTTCAAGACCCCAATTCGAGGGAAAAATAAGGCTGCTGCGCATCAAGAATGATCCCCAAAAAAACAACACCAATCAATTATAATGAGTCAAATGTCTTTAAATAAATTAAATGCATATATACATTTTGTAGTATAGTCTTCAAACAATAGACGACTATAATACTGGGTGACTGTCAACCCAGCTTCCCAGGGTATCTGCAATTATTTTTTCAAATTACCGAGTAATTTCCGATAATCCCGGGGGGGGTAGCAGTCACCTTGTATAGCTTATTTCCCTTAACAATGATATCTCACCTCTGTATTCTTTGCCATGAGTTGATTCAACTATGCTTCCTCTTCATGATTCATTAACCATACTGTCTAGATAGCTACAATACTAATATTACACAGGCCCTATCCCTTCCCAACTTTTCCCGGGACTTCCCGACCCATCACAAAATTCCTGACTTTTTCCCGATTTCCCGACCTAGTGGGGGACCCTGCAGAAGGTCTAGTTTTTTGCTTGTGTTCATTAGAAAACGAAACAACAAATGAAAGGGAAAATACACACAAAACTATTGACATCAAAGACAATACCTGATGCACGTCCTTGACTGCCAGTTCCAAATACGAATTGTCTGGTCATCAGAAGAGCTGAGGATCCATGGGTATTCCTGCAGAAAAGACATTGAAACCATTGAAAACATGACAGCAAAAATATCCATTATATTACAAATAACTGAACTTTCCCTTACAACATCTCTGTTCTCTTTGTGACCAGTAGAGACTTTTATATTTAGTTTTAGTAAGAATATTACAGCACTGGCAACATAATAAGGTCATGTAAATGCCAAAGATTGCAGGTGTTACAAGTGAGTAACAAACACCAAAAAAAAAAGAGGAGAATCAGGACAATAGATATTTGATAGGAGAGATAGAGAAAACCACACGAGAGCACCCACCAACCACCTATGCCCCAAATCAGAAATAAAGGACTTTAAAACACTTCTTTCACTTGTCCCATCTCTATTCTTTTATCATCTCAAATCCTGTGTATATTACACAATACAGAAAAAATGTCAACTTCCTGTTTTGTGGTGCCTCCCCAAGATCTCAAAAGTAGTTAATGGATAAGTACTTCAACCTAAGTGAAGCTTGTTTAAACATTACTTTAATGAGACATATATTTCTTCATGGTTCGAAAGTAAGAAAGAATATTCAGATGAGTATCAGTCTTACATAATGCAGTAACAGGGAACAGAAACATAACAGAAAACACAAACTTACATGATGGAAAAATGTGGTCCGAATGTAATCCAAGTGTCCAAGAAGAGTAAAAAGACAGCGTCTTTGTTTATAGTTCCAAACCTGAAGAAATAGTTTATAAAAATGGCTAACTTATCATAAGAGAAAAAAAAAGGATACAAATTCAATAACAAATTGTAACACTTTGCTGGGTCTTTCCTAAAACTTCCAGTCATGCCCCGGCCTGACTTCTCTACACCGTAATCACAACAAACTTTCTTTAAATTCAACATTATCCAACACGAGATTTGGGCAACAATATGGAGAATAAATCTGCACACTACATTCCATAAACAACTAATAATAAAATGATCATTTGAATAGTCAAAATAGCCTCCCACTTTCGGAGCATGAAAACCATTTCCATCCCCCCCTCCTGCCACCCCCCTGCTTTCACTCTAATGGCAAAATTTCTACAGCATAGTAATAGTCATGAATACATGTAATATGTACCTTGATCTTGTAGTCATCTCCTCCAGAGACAAAAAGCGGCTGCTGCTGGTGAAAGTTGATTCCTCTCACAGGGCCTAAAGACAACAGGGAAGAAAATATGACGGTATAAATAAATTCTGTATGGATAAATATTAACCCTGAAGTGCATAGTTGCATCTGAGCACTTATTTAGCTTCAATAGTCATTTAAAAAATAAAGGTAATCAACAAAACATTGAAACCTTTCCAGAGCCAATGTCCTTTAGTCTTGTCGAAATGACAATGAAACATCTTTCTGAACATATACTGTACTCACAAGAGGTCAAGTCACGTGACGCGAGCCTGCAGTTGAAGAATTTCATGGACTGATCTTGATGATGGGTTTAACTAATGGAACTTGGACAATGTTTGCTTTTCTTTCTTTTTTACTTATAAGACCACAAAATGACGAATACTGGTTTACCTGTATTACCTGTCCTGGGCAACAACGTCACTGCACACGGGCCAGGTCCATAAGTGCTCAGTTCTCCCCAGCACCAAAGCCCGCAAGGTATCCATACTGATTGTTCCAGTGGCTGTCTGATTATGGCGACATCTTTCCTTTCCAGATGACCGTTCCTTTCTTCTTTCTCCCCTCTCTATCCCCATTTCCCGCATCCTAATGATTGCGTGGTGTTCTGCTGTCTCCTTTTCTTCATCCCGCAAATTTTTCTCCAGGGTCTTCAACACTTCTCCTTTGTCAAATTTCACCTCACCATCAACCACGGCACTGCCTGCCAGCCTATCAGCCTCCTCATTGCCTTTTACTCCAGAGTGCCCAGGACAGAATATCCACGTGATGGCTTTAAGTGATGAGTGTTGTATTGGGTTCATCCATTCACTCCGAGGAAGCCCTTTCTCAACCCTTCGCAAGATGCTCTGGGAGTCCGTGACAATGATGAGATGAGTTGTTTTTGGTCTTGTATTATGAAGCCATCCAAGCGCTCTTGTTACGGCCTGAATCTCCATTTTCATGCTTGAAGTTGTTCTTTCTATGGCCCCTGACATGCCATGAACCTTTTTGTTCCCACTGTACACCACAAAACCCCATCCACTTCTCTCACCCCTCCTGACTGATCTATCCGTATAAAACGCTGGGTCCACTGGCTTGGAATGCTCCTCAATTAACTGTCGTATATCATTGTCGTTAATGACAGCAGCACATTCCCGTCTTTAACAACCCATAGTGATGTGAACGTTGGCCAGGCTTCTGCAATCGGGGCTCAGTTCAAACCACTCTTTTCCACAGCATATTTCATCGATGCCACAAACTTTCTACAAGGAGTCTTCGGCTTCTGCCATCCATGAGCTGCCCCGTTTGATCCGTTTTGAATACTGGTTTATTTGCATGGCATCACTACATTTTTAAAGGCACACCCTGCATGTCCAGTTATGACACCATGATCAGGAAATTCTAGACAGCAACAAAAGTGAAAATAAATCTTTGATTTTCAAAACAGCTCAGCCATAAAATCACAACATACACTTCCACCATAGCTATTCATTTGTGCGTAACACACTCTTGGACCAGGAAGAACTAAATAAATACCACAAACAATACCCGCAAAAAATGAATTTAGAGACATCAGATAAATTGGTTTACATTAAAGAAACGGCAGTATTTTCCTATCTCTTTCCCAAACTTCCCAAGTCTCTACAATTTCATAAAAATTCCCTAAGCCTGAAAGTCAGCGTGTGATAAAGATATGGGTTCCTTCATTTTATTGAAAACAAAATCCTTTTTAACTATAAAAGACATTTTTGTCTTTGTCCTGACATTTTTCTTTCACATTTTTTACCATTTATTTTTTTGTACGAAAGAGATAGTTTTTGCTGTTTCTCAGTTCAAAACTACCCATCACATCAATAACCTTTCTAGCCAATATTTTACATGGTGTGTGTAATGGCAGTGCTAATTTAATTATTTTCACCCGTGGGCGATTAACTCTGGTCCTGCGGGGTTAACTGGAAGAGCATTCTTATCAATCGATGACCCACTTACGTCACCCGTGAGCTTGCCCCGCGGGCGCCGGGGTCAGACAGTGGTCACGCAAGCATACCGCAGGAGACAATAGAGAAACTTGAAAGAGAACAATGAAAAACACTCATCTTTTAAAGCAAATTGATGTTATCTATGAATAAGTGTTACGACGGCATGAAAAATCCCCTTATCCCCTCGTCGGTTGATCAGACGCTAAGATTGGAAGTTACACCCAATCGAATTTATATATATCTTTCCCAGAGTTTTCCTGATTTCACACCTGTTATGAACTTGCGAACAGCTACTTATCAGCTACCTTTCGAAAGGGGAAAAAATGGGATAGATTCCAAATATTATTTTCATTCAGTTGCTATCAAATTTCTCCTATTGGTAGGGCAATCGTTTCAAAAACCATCAAATGTGATTAAATGAATCAGGAAACAGTGTTTTGTGCAAAAATGAGCTCGTTTGAAAAGTGTGAAAAGGTGTTCGCACTGAAAGATGAAAGTCCTATTTCCTGAATATCCTTTTGAGTTCCTCAAGTGTCTAACTAGGTCAAAATGCTATATTTCACCGGATGAACATCTCTACCGACGTTCTGTTATCTCTACCAACACTTCGCATTTCAAAACGCAGAAAGTTCCAGAAGGGCACAAAGGCACAAACAAACTGACGCACACATATTTTAGCACAAAGATGCAGACCCTGCATAAACAAATGAAATTGTCGTTAGTCGCGCAGGACAACAGACTGATCCGGGACCAGCTAGGGAACGCCGCACAGGAATGCCCTTATAGGCAAACATTTAGAATCTATCCAGGACTAGAATCTTACGGGTTTAATCAGATAAAGACAATACCCATACTGGTATGACTTTTTTTTTTTTTTTAACAAGAACATAGAGAGACAGCAAGCTTACCGTCATGCTCATCAAATTTGTCAATAAGTGTGCACATTCGATAGTCCCACAGTTGAACAACTCCAGTGTGTAGAGATGCAAGAACCCATGGCCGCTTGGGGTGAAAGGACAGACCTGAAACAAAAATTACTCGATAGATTTTGATTTAAAGCCATGACATTAACAGCTCAATTGTGCCAGAGGCAAAAGGAGAAGGCAACAAAGTCAGTGTTACAAATTACGCTATAACTTATTATGTCTGATTAACTTACAAGGGTCAATCAGCTAGTGACTACTCAGGCAATTGTTTACTTTCTCCCATTTATTTCCGGCCACACCTCGAACACCTAGATCTAGATTCTACATGAAACCCTATGCACCCCTGACTGGATATTCAAAACTTTGTGCTATTAAAGTTAAGAATACGTAGATCTGAACCACGGCAATTTCATTATTTGTAGGTAGATCTAGATTCTAGATAGTACATACTGGCATTAGGCCTTCCGTACTGATTTTGATGGCCATTGAGTAAAATATTCATAATCATAGACCATAGATACAATTCAGAGAGTGGTCATTCATTACGGAAGTCCTCCCCTGGAATTAAACGCGAGAAAGTAAACAATTGGCCACCTTTATTCTCGCCCCGGGTGAGAATAGCGCAGGTGAGTCTTTTGGCTATTTTCACCCGGTGTGCGTTCACCGTTATAGCCTAGATCTAGGAAACCAGTGATGCGTTCACCCTGAACCACAGAATTCTACACCGTGATTACAGAATTGTAGAATTCTGAGCCGTGAACAAACGTTCCATCACTACTATTAGCCTAAAAGCGTGCAATTTTGTCTTTGTCTGTGGGCAGTGGAGAGAGAGAGAGAGAGAGAAAGAGAGAGAGAGAGAGGAGTAGCGCGAGAACTTCCGGGCAAAACAAAATGGCAACCCGCGCAGTTCGGCTCGATTCGAAAAGTTAAATAGCCATAGCATCTTCGTAGACGACCAAATTAATTTACTTTTGTATTTTAACATCATTTTTTAACTTTGATATATGGTCAATTTATCTTGCGAGAACTTCCGGGCGAAACAAAATGGCGACCCACGTAGTTTGGCTCGATTCTAAAAGTGAAATAGCCATAACACCTTTGTAGACGATCAAATTAGCTTACTTTTGTGCTATAACGTAATTTTTTCTTTGCTTTTATTAGCAATGACAATGAAAAATTAAATTTTCATCCCAATTGTTTTAAAATGGGCTTAAATGAAAATAGAGTAAATTCTAAGAACTATGGTTTTTAAATTTTTAAAATCCATTGATAAATAAAAAAGTTATTGGGATTTTTGTTTGCAAAATGTTGGAGGACCTTCAGGAAAAAATCGCCAAAATGTGGGACATGTTTTGATGTATTTTGAGGAAAAACTGTTCATAAGTCACTAATGAATTGGAGCATATATGAATGAAACTTGGCATCATCATGTGATTTTTAGTGCCGAATCTAGTTCTGCTATCACTTTTTCGATGTCTCTATTACTTAGGATCTTAAAGACTGATATAATTTGCGTGAAATTTGTTGAATTGCGTGACATCGTTTTTACCGCGACGCGATCACCCCTTCTAAAACTCAGTAAAGCACTATCGGGAAAACCCGCAATGTAGTCATCTGTGACCTATTTAGTTATAGGCAGCCAATCACATGCCGCCTAGCGATCACGCGCCTCTTGCATGCCGGCACCTCACATTTGGAATGCGTGATCTAGTTTCCAGCTCTAGTTTGGATGGGTGGTAATTTTAAGTTGGTACGTAAAATCTACTAAACGCAGAGATCTGAAATTTTACAGCAATAAAGAAGACATGTGGGGCGCTTGGGTGGTCGGCGATCAACCCGCAGCTCCGCTTAGTTTTCGAACCGCAGAGGAAATTCGCACAAACACGGCAATATCACCGGTTCTAGTAGATCCAATCGTTCGGGATTTACGCTGGCATGTCGTTAGTTTAACCTTTTCTCTGATTGGTTGCCGGGTTTCATTTATTATCGTCCAGGAGTTTTCACGTAACTATACTTAGAAGAGAGTCACTTCTGATTCCGAGCGGCCCAAAAATTACCCCTCGCGCGGAGGCCGATTTCCGAGGCGATGCGGGCGATTGGCATTGCCATTTTTATCCACACCGAAAGACAGTATTCTGAAATTACGAAAAACAGGTCTTGTTTCACATCGGGTGAGAATAGCCAACGGTGGAAAGTCTCACCCGGGGTGAGAGGTCGATCGTATTTTTATTCTCACCCCGGGTGAGGATAGCCACTTCCTAAACAATTACCACTACTCAGACTACTGACTAAGACTGTCATGTTGAGTGCAGGCTGTACTGTAGCTGTAGGCCTAGATAGCCAATAATCTCACCAGTCCAAGAATATGTCATGAAAACAGCGATACTGCCATACTGCGAGGGAGTTAATTTTTTAGTGTCAATGAATCAGATGATCTGTTTGGAGTCAGTCTAAACCAGAATCCAGAAACTTGGTGGTTAGCTGGACACCGAGATCCAATAATAATCTCGACAAGACCATGCAATTCAGGCGTACCTTTCACTCTAGCCGACTTCGTCTCAAACTTGGTCAGCATTATTCAACGCTGCGACAGCTACTGCTGGTTATTCGGGGTACAATTTATAACGATAAATCTTGTTAGTCGCCGGGTGGAATAAGGGACTGTGTTGACAAAAAGCTCCACCGTGTCTCTCGGAGTCTTGGATGTACTTCCGGTTATACACGTCAATGGACAAAAATGCCAGGTTGGAATTTCTTCTCAGTTCCAATGACTGATAGCAAACAGCAATTTCAACTCAGGATGTTGTTCTAAGTGTAAAACAAAAATACCAAAATCATGTAATCTGACTATTTAAAAATTACACAGGGTAAAAAAAATATTTTAGAATTCTTTCAGATGTTACAAGTTTGCAAAGTAATTGGTTAGTTGAAAGGAATAGAATTTGACTTTCATAGCTGAAAAGGGGAACAAAATAAGGCAGTGTGGCCAGTGGCCAAAAGGGAAGTTTGACTGCTAGGCTAGGCGTATTCCAATTTTCTTCACACTCACACAAGGCTTTAACTTTGACCTTTAAAAATGTTTTGATATGAAGCTAAAGTTTCTCTGTCAGTTAGGCCTAGTCCGCGTTTAGATAAATTACATTGTTGGTCCCCTGGCAAATACACTGTTTTACAGCCGCACACCACGATAAACATGATGTAAAATTAAAGGCTGTCATAACCAGTCATAACTGTGGTGGGGCGTGGTGAAGGGCTTGAATCCCCACCCCCAAGCTCTTTCCCTACGTAAATGAAGGTCTTTTGGTCAAAGAAATAATCACATAAAGTCAAAATCACTGTTAAGAAACTGGGACCACATCAACCAGCTGAATGTTCCCATGTACAGATACAGTACTTTCATTTCAATCCAAGGAGGTCTAATTTTAATTACAGAAAAACCGAAAGGCCCAAATCATGTGCATGTATAGAGATGGGTAAATGAGCCTCTTTTCCTGGTTTCATTGGGGGGTTTTGTTTTTGTAAAGTGTTTTACGGCGCTCACAACTGCATAGGTCATATAAGCGCGCGGGACACACCTAATATTTTCAGTTGGTAGGAAATTTTGAATTTTGCCCGGGTGGCGGCCGAAGCCTACTCTTATCGATTTTAGACCA